GCTTAAGTATTTGTTGAAATTTTGTTTGAAAAAACTTTTTGCCTTGTTAAAATTGAAAAATTTTCCTTATTTAGTGCTTGTAAAAGAGTTCATAGAGTAGTACACTTTTAGGCAGATAAGGAGGGCTGATTCATTTATATTTATGGTGTACTACTGGTTAGTTAAAAAATTCATAATTGACCTAGAAAAGATAAAAAAATATATATATGTTCTTGCTAAGTTTTGAAATTTTCAACTTAATAATATACCTTCTCAACAAAATTTTATTTCAATATAGAAATTCAGATCTGAGACAGCAACATACAGTTATCCGGTTGAGAAAATCATTTGAAGTTTTTTAGAAAAAGATTTATGGTATTAATGCTGCTTCGGATTAATGAACGCTCGTTGAAATGATACATTTTTTTTATCTGAAACACAATTTTCAAGTAAAGTTTTGATGAAATTGGATTAAAATGGAAGATAGTCGATGACGCAGAAAATAAGAAACAATCAATTTGAGATAGAAACTCAATTTAAATCATTAGAACTTAAGAGAATTATTTTAAAATTTATGTTATAAATTACATCTTGAGACAAAATCGAACAAAAAAGTGTAATGTTTGGAAAACTTTCTATCATTTGATATACTAGGTAAACCTATATGAAAATTCAGATTTTTTGAGAAAAATTTTTGCAAATTAAGCCCAACTCCGACATCTCTTGGAAGATGACACATGGAGCATAAATTGATACCGAGATCTACATTTCTATATTTTGGATTTAAAAAAATTTGACGTAGAAAGATTTTTAGAGATGATAAAATCAAGCTTGCTGAAATTTCTTATATAAATTGAATTTTTAGCAGACTCAAATGTTGATTATAAGAACTTTAACCAGAAGAATTTCAATTAGACACACAGTAAAGAGTTCTGGTCAGCTTCAACATTTTTTCAATTAGAAAATTACGTAAAACTATAGATTTTGGAGTAAAAAATTTCACAAAATATTCAATTGTTACAGTTTGCACCTTAATTTCCTTTCATTGATCGATGTTTTTGAGAAGAAGTCTTCTAGAAGTTCATAAATGTTGCAGAAACATGGAACGAAGTTTCCTTGCGTATTTCTACTTCCAAAGGTTTTGCAGATTATATCAATGGAGCTGCTCTTTATTTATTGCAAGAAATCAACGTAAAATTACAGCTTTTTATTCTCATTTTTTTCATGGACTTTCGAATGCTTAAAATAGCACCGATTCTTTCTCACTTAGACATTTTTGAGAAAACTTCCGACAAAAATTAAGAACAAAAAGCGATTTAATAAATTATTTGCAAGAAAAGTGATAGTTAATGATACCAAAAGTTGTTGTTTTGCTGAAATAATTGCTGTAGTAACTGAACAAAGGAGCCTGAGTGAGAACCTGTATAAAATACATGATAATAATTAGACGTTATCAGTTCTAATTTCTTCTCTGCCAGCAAATTGTTCGTTCAGTTGATACTATTTTCTCCTAAATTCTTCAGTTCTGACTAACTTTTCCCGCAAAGTGAATTCAATAGCGCAAACATGTATTAAGCAGAAAGCGAGAATATGCTTGAGACATTAAAAATTGCTACGGAAAAACCATAAAAATTATGTTGTAGAAGCAACAGAAAGATAATCATCAGTTTTGAAGAAGATTTTATTGAATATTATACAATCTAATATAATTTCAATAAAAAATAACCCATTTTCAGTCAATTTTAGCAGTAAAATAATGAAATTTTTTTAATGATCCAATATTTAATATCATGAATATGTTAAAAACTTCTCAGAAGTTGTAATTTTTGTACAAGATTGGGTTAATCTTTGAGAAAAAACTGAGAAGTAGTTGGATCATGGAGTTTGATCTAGAAGTTTCAATGAATATTGCGCTCATTGTTCTATTGAATTGAGATTCCTAAGTAAATTCTTCTTGAGTTGGTCAACAAAAACCAGTTATTTACACAAAAGTAAGGTTAAAAAGGAAAACTTTGGACAGATTTGATTAATTTTTACTTTCTCGAAAATTACCATAATTTACCCGAGAAATCTGAAGTTTCACATTGATTCAGCTAATATGAGCTTTTTTTGTTCAGAGTATTATAAAAATCGCTTTTTAGCTCAAATAACTCTAAATTTTACCGTATTTCATTTTTTTGAGAGAAAATTGTAGAAAATTCCATAAAATACAATTTGAGCTTAGTTTTAAACTCTACGCATATGCATTTTTTTTTCAATTAGATCAGAAGCAACAAAATATTAGTCAAAACTTTGAGATTTCTGCAGTTCTTTCCAAAGCTTGATTTTTCTTGCATTTTTTCCAAGAACTGAAATTTTTGCACTTTTTCCCAAAAACCTGAAATTTTAGCAATTTTTTCCAAAAATTTGACTTTTTTTCGAAGTTTCAGTAGGTCTAAGCATAGTTTCAGCTAAGTTGTGTACTGTTTCAAAAAACCAATTATCCAATAGAATATGTATTAAGTCAAATTAAAACAAATCATATCGTGTTTTGAAATTGTTTGAAAAATTTTCAATTTTATTGATAAAAATTTCCAATTTTTTGCACATCTGACCATTGACTTACCATCATCCAAAAAACATAATACCTTCATTACACAATCTACGCGTAATACTCCAAAGGTTACATAACGCGTGCCCGGTTTTTTGCGAAAAACTAGACATTTCTACACAAAATCCAAGAAACACTGTTTTTCTTACCATTCTCTTACTACTTGAATGTATAAATCTGAATTTGATTGATTATTTTCACCTTCAAAAACTGTTTTCAAGTTTACTTTTTACGCAAAAATTCCAGCTATTAAACGAAATTTAAAATGTTATCACCTGTGTTAATACAATGATTCTCCAAAAACACTCGAAAAATTATTACCACGTAATACTCAAAAAATTACATAACGCGTGCCGGGTTTTTTTTGCGAAAAAACAAGACATTTCTATACAAAATCCAAAAAAAATATCACCGTTTTTCTTACCATTCTCATACCATTACACTGAAACCTTACCTTTCCATATCCTAATACATTGGGAACCTATTCCCTATGTTAATACAATGATTCTCTAACCCTTATACATAGGGATATCTATACACTATCCTAATACATGGGAAATCTAAATACTTTCTTAAAACATGGTAAGATCGGGCGCTAAAAACTTTTCTGAAACTTACCATCTCAAACATTACCATCTTAATTAGGAAACCTATTCCCTATCTTAATACATAGGAATTTTATTCCCTATCTTAATACATGGCGGTCACCACCACCCCCCTCCCCCCACTTCAGCCCCAACATATACTACTTAAATGTTTAAATCTGAATTTGATTGATTATTTTCACCTTCAAAAATTGTTTTCAACTTTACTTTTTACGCAAAAGCTCCTGCTATTAAACTTAATTTAAAATGTTATCACCTGTGATACTTTTGACTTGAAGTTTTGTGACAAATTGATATGGGGTGATATGTTGCCACTTCAAACAGTTGAAAGAGGATTTTGCAATCATTCAATTTATACATTCATAAAAAAATCTTAGCATTCAAAATAATAGCGAAATAATGCGGCTTTAAGAGCAATAAAACATCCAGTCAAACATATTCATCAGTTTAACAAAAATCGAAATTCGGAATTGATATTTCATTTTAATCCTATAGAAAAAAATTTTCCGAATTTTTGGTTATTGATTCTGGTATCTTGAAATCACTTCTGGGCTCTTTTCCAGTTGCCCCTTTGAAAATACCGAGTTTTATGTTTGTTTTACGTGTTATTACGGCTAAATTCGTGATGTTACGCTGTAAAATATGAAGAACAAATCTGTTCAAAATTGCCGATTTGTTCACCACGCTAAATTTCATTGCATTATGACAACGTTAAATAGACTTTTCAAAATTGAATTTGAAGGGGGGAACTGGAAAAAAGCCCACTTCTGAAATCAATTGTTTCGAGGATGAAGTTTCGATAAAGCTCATGTTTTTTTGATGAGTGATTTTTTGTGTAAAAAGTTAATTTTTTTTTCAACAAGTTTTGTGGCAAAAGCACATGGCGTTTTTCCTTGTTCCCCACATGCCACTTTATATAAGTAAAAATTTTCTTCACATTGTTCGATTGATTGTTATAAAATTGCATGCGGCATCATTACACCAAGACAATCTTAATTGGTTTTCATGCACAACCTATTAAAACCTTTAGTTACTCAAAAAATTTGATGTTTTTATCAGGTTGGCAGGGGGAAAAGGAAAAAGAGCCAATCGAGCTTTTTTAAATATCAAAAAACGCAGTGAAAAAAGTTTCGAAGTGCAAAACCTGTCTTCGAAGCTTTACTAACAAGAAAATGTTGTTCTTGTTGTTCGTGTAAGAAAGGATAGCAAATGCGAAGTATTTCAGTTTGAAAACTGGAAAATACTTTTTAAACCTGAACTGAATTAGTATTGATTGAGGAAGTCACGTTTTTTTTTAAAACATGAAAGATAAAACCCCTGCTTACTCTGAAACGTCGATCTTTTGAAAATTCTAAACATTACTTCAACTCAAGAATTGTCCCATGGCACATTCTTTTTTTCATAAAAACATTTGATCACAATTATTTGGTTATATTGTTTTTGGTTAACGAATCTGAACATGATTAGGACGATTTTTTATACGATGAGTTTTTTGTGCAATTGGTCAAGAAATACTTTTTTGGTTGCTCCTTTTGAGCTAATAATGATTATCCCCACCTTCGAGTTTAAAATCACGGCAAATGCTGGGACTCGACAACAGGACCTATCGATTGAGAGACAGAGACATAACCGCCCCTTTACCGCTCCCCCAGAACGACTGTTAGGAGCCTAATACTGGTCATTTAAGAAACCATTTTTTAAAATTTTTGTCAGCGTGTTGGAATCTAACTAGCCTGAAAAACACAGGTTTTGTACAATTGCAATGTTCAATGTCATAAACTTTCGGTGTCGACCAAAAGTCTAATTGTTTTGCGTGTGTTTGGCAGCTGCATGAACAACTGCAGATTCAAGGCCACTTCATCTGAACTGCTCATTCTCAAGGGTCACTCAGATGACGCACTTGATGTCACAGGGGTGCAATACGTGTGGTCTATTTACCGAAGAAGGCTGGGCCAGACACCTGAAGATGTCACACCTGCTACCATCAATGAACTTGAGGGTCAGTTATTGGGGGGGGGGGGGGGGGCTCTTATAGCTACTATGGGCTCCTAACTACTATATCGCAACCATTTTAGCTAAATAATGACCACGTGGTTGGTTAGGGAATCGAACTCCTGAGGTGGGGGAGAAAGTCTGCTATATTCTCTGTGATGGAAATTTTGTGCCTGAAATCCAGCTCTGACATAGCATTTTAAGGTTTTCTTTTATTTCAGGCAATGGGTTTTCGTCCCTCGTGCTGCCCTCGGACGTGTTCGACTCCAGTGGAGAGTATGACGTCATGTTCGAAGTGTCGGTGCCTGGATTTCCTGCTCCCGCCTTCGAAGTGTACACTTTCATCTACAACCACCCACCTTACAATGGCACCTGTTTCAGCGAGCCCAAAGAAGGTAAGAGCAATTCTGAAGATACTCTAGAAATTTTGAAAAACTAAAAAAACCGGAGTTTTCTTCAATCAAACAAAAAATTTTATCAAGTTTTTGCTTTGGGGCGTTGGTTCAATTAATTCAAGTAACTCTTCAAAAAATACTTGCTAATGGTCCAAAAGGAAAGTAAAGTACTATAAGGACATATAGTACTTTACTTTTTAAACCTGAACTGAATTAGTATTGATTGAGGAAGTCACGGTTTTTTCTTAAAAACATGAAAGATAAAACCCCTGCTTACTCCGAGCTTTTGAAAATTTTAAACATTACTTTAAGTTAGAGCCTGGTTAGGTTTCAAACAAAAAGCTAAACTTCGCGTGAATCAGAGCATGGGTTACCCGCTTGCCTCGGGGCAATTTTTTATTTTGGCGAAGTTTAGCGATAAAAAATTAGTCATGGCACAAGCTCTATCTTTTGAATAAAGATAGACTCTTTTACTTGAAATGTTAAAATACAGATAAACCAACTGTGATTATTTTTCGTGAGTTCGTACAGTTGTGGAGTTCAAAATTTGACAATTCTGGATTCACCTCTGTACGGTTACGTATCAAAAACCAAGACGCGTCATAAAGAAGGCATGTCATAAGCCAATAAGAATAGAGACAAGAAAGTATTTCGTACATTTGTTTACTTATCTCGATTGTGATTGGCTTCCGACTTGTATATTTTGTGGCACGTCCACTTCTTGATTGCATGTTTTCCTGCACTACGTGAGCCCCTTTTAGATCAATTTAATTGAACTACCTAATGAGTCATCGCCAACTATGTGAGCCTGGCAAAAAATCTACCTTGGCTCACCAAAAAATCTAATCACACATTTTCCGGAATTGAAAAATGTTTTATACTACTAGTTCATACGAACAACATTTTGTAGAAATTCTCTATGAAAAACTTTTATCCCTTAATTAAAATTGTAATTTAGGCTATGTTTCAAACAAAAAGTTTGAATGACTAGCTTTTTCCATAAAAAAACTCGAAATTTGCTTAGTCGGATTTTAAGTTTCAAATTTCGTCTGAAATTACTGTGATCCAAAGTTTTCTCGCACAAGAATACCCAGAGATTAAGTGACAACAATCACACAGATAAACTGGATTTGGTGATTTGCCATGTAGAGCGATAATATCCCTTTCACGCAGAGTTACGCACAAAAAATAATATAATTTGAAAAATGGTGGAAAGATTCTGCCTTGGGAAAAACAAAAGCAAAACCACTAACGTTGGCTGTAAAAATCCACATCATGTGGTTTTTGAATAGTTTTTGCAGGAAACAGCCCGCAATTTGTTGAAGACAAAAAAGAAATGTTTCCCTGACAACGTTTGTTCGAGTCAAAAGTGAGTTTCTGATCATAATGAAGAGAAAATTTTCTCTATTTTTTTTGGTTTTTTCGGAGTGAAAAATTTAATCATACAAGCTTCAATAAACATGTCTTTGAAGCATTTTCGAAACATAGTTGTAAAAAAGCATTGCTTCCTATTTAAGTTTAAATTTGCTTTTAACCACAACAAATTTTTTAATGGCCTCAGATAGTCAAAACTGATATTAAACAACAAGCAAGACTGCTCGTATATCAGGAAGAACCCTTGAATATTCGAACTGCCTTTTAAGACCATTTCAAAATTGTTTGAGTGAGCGATGATAAAGTATTCGCCAAAAAATTGTATTTGCAAATTTTTCCTTCATTTTATCACCGCACATGCTATGTAAAGTACAAAACTATGTTTTTAGCGTCTTGTATCTTGTTAAAAAGGTTTATTGTCGCTTAAGTAGTCTCGTTTTCCTAAAATAAAGAAAAAAAGTTATGAAAAAGGTCTTAATCTTTGCAATGTGAAGAAAAAATTGACCGCTTTTGTAAATTTGAAAAATTTTAGAGCGCTATGAAAAAATGACCGCTTTTGTAAGTTTGAAAAATTTTAGAGCTGCTATGAAAAAATGACCGCTTTTGTAAGTTTGAAAAATTTTAGAGCTGCTATGAAAAAATGACCGCTTTTGTAAGTTTGAAAAATTTTAGAGCGCTATGAAAAAATGACCGCTTTTGTAAGTTTGAAAAATTTTAGAGCTGCTATGAAAAAATGACCGCTTTTGTAAGTTTGAAAAATTTTAGAGCGCTATGAAAAAATGACCGCTTTTGTAAGTTTGAAAAATTTTAGAGCTGCTATGAAAAAATGACCGCTTTTCTAAGTTTGAAAAATTTTAGAGCGCTATGAAAAAATGACCGCTTTTGTTGGACAATGAGCGATTTTGATATTGGTTGTGAAGTAAGGCGAAGCATTCGTAACAGGCGACACTTCGTAACTAGAAACAATTTGTAACAAGGCATTGGCAACTAGCATACGCTTGCTTCGCCGCTACGCTTTTATCCGGCAAGAGAGGAATACTGCGCGTGAATCAATGTTTCCCGCTTGCTCTACTGTTACGATTTGTCGTTTGTCGCTTGTTAAGAAATGTCGCCTCTCCAGGTGGAATAACATGCTTACTCCCCCCCCCCTTCCCCCTTCCCCCTACTTCAATCTCGCCACTAGTCACGCATGCAAGCATTCATACTGATAAATGGAAAGTTCGGCTCATTCTGGTTGAAATTATCGCTATACTTGAGGAACAGAACTTGGGCTCTTCCAGTTTTTTTGGATAACTATCAAAGCATGTTTCAGGTTCTGTTATGGAAGACAAATTCACGATTTACTGCCACGGTTGGCTGGACGAAACGCTACACATAGACCGCAACATTTCTATCGACTTCCCGCCGTCAGAAGGGATGTATGAACACCGGTTCGTCTAACCTCAAACTCCCCCCCTCCCTCCCTCGTCCCAACTCTCCCCTCCCCCTTCCCCCTCCCCAGTTTAGTCATCAAGTTAGGACTCACCGCTGGAGTTTTTCCAATCCATTAAACAGTGCTCTGAAATAAATTTTTGTTTTAAATCTTGTTTAAACAAAACCTCCTCTAGAACGCCGTTCCAACGGAATAATTCAAGGCAGAAACAAAACTTGCGCAACAAATCTTACGGTCTTTCGTATGTGAATGGATCAAAAAGATCTATTTTTGTATACCGTTCTCTCGGCTCGGATAATGTTGTAGCTCAAAATTTTTAGCAGATTTTTTCGAATTATTCAGTGAAAAAAAAAAAAAAAATTTTGAGTTTGCTTCATCTTCGTTCAACAACAAATGCAAACATTTACCCGAGCAATGATGCTCAATTCTGCTAAATGACCATTTTGAGATTCTTATGTTCACGCTTTTATTTGTTTTACAGGTACTTCGTGGCCGAACAGAACTTAGCCGAAGTGCCCGACAATTGTGACGATTTCTCCCTCATCGCCTACAATGCAGCTCCCACTTCGCAGCCTTTCCTGTCAGTCAATTTTTCCAAAAATAAACTCCGTCAAATTAGGGTTTTCTTTTATTTTTTTCCCAAATCTTCTGAGCCCGAAGCAGTTTTTAATTTAAAAGTTTTGAAAAATTAGGATTTTCAAATTAGGGTTTTCTTTTATTTTTATTAATCCAAATAATTCCTTTATTTGATCATTTCGAAAGTTTTGTAAAATTTTCTGAGCTCGAGGCAGTTTTTAATTTAAGTTACTCTATGAAGTTTTGAAAAATTGGTCGTTTTTTTCACTGTTTGGTAGTTACCATTTGATTTTTTGAAAATATTCAGTTTTGTTGTTTTTATTTGTTTCAGTTTGCCAGTCGGTTCCGAAAGTACAGATCACGTGGTCTCGCTGTGTACAAAAGTGCGCGACCAGTACGGCGCATCAGCTTCCGTTTTCTACGATGTGATCGTTCGTCCGGATGGAATTTCAGCAAATGATGTATTGATGAATTTGACTTCTACGAGTGGACTTTTAGCCGAAAAAGTGTCGGCTGGAAACTTCCAAGAAGTTTTTCAACTGAGTCTGGCTGCCTTGTCTGTATTGGGTGATTTGCAGGTAAAAAAATCAGTTTTTCCTTCTCACGTGAAACTTATTCACGCTTTCCAACTGTAATGAAACCTTGAAAAAATTCTGGTTGCGCGATAAAAGTGATGTTTGTATTTTCGTTGGGGCTGAAAAATTTTGAACTACTTTTCTGCACATATTAAAGATAATATTTCAAGTTCGCAGAAATTTGTTTGAAGGTGTTTTTCGACGAAATAAGTAGTTCTTTATGCGAAAGGTTTCGTTTTCTGAAGGCCAGTGAAAGTTTTTTGTCTTCAAAAATAAGATATTATGTCCACACATGTCAGAAAAGCTCAGTGAAGGTTAAGCGGAAGTATTAAAAAAGCTTTAGAAAAAACAACTGAAAAAGTTATAGAAATTACATTTGGTTTCTCTGAAGTCCAGTGAAAGTTTGGTGTTTTCATGAAAAAGATAGCGTCAAACAAGGACTGCAGGGGTCAGTGAAAAATGAGTGTTGAAAAATAAACAACACATTATCCAACAGTTTTTCGAACAAGTATCTGGAATTTCATGATTTTATTTTTCAGCCTTCTCAAAGAATGGAGGCGACTACTGCGACTATCGCTGCCTATCAGCAGATTTCTAGTTCTCTTGCTGCAACTCAAAGTGTCGAGATGATGACTCATTCTTTGAGAAAAGTCACAGACAACCCTGAGGACATATCTACAGATGCAAGGGTAATAAATAAAGGGGTTATAAATTAAAATTTATGTTCTTGCTAACATCTGCGTTTTTTAATGTTAGCGTTTTTATTGTTTTTTTTGAAAAGTCTTCAAATTGAAACACTTTTTTAAATTATTTTTTTCTCAACTTTTCTCAAAATGAGAAATTTTGAAATTCGATATTGTTGTGATTTTACATCAGGTTTTGCAATTATTGCTAAACATACTTATTTAATTAACCGGTCACTTAGTTATGACCTTCACTAGCCATTCTCTCCGGCGGAGAGAATGATCTCTTATTGTTTTAATGTTTTAACTTAACGACTAATTCATATTATTTCTTATTCTTTTTAATAGTTTTAATTTAGAATTAGCTACAACTAAGTAATATTTTATCATGGCGCAGTCATCTAACGAATCTAACGTTAGAGGAATACCTCCCTTTTGGCAAAACCATACGGTAGACCCACCCATCCCTTGGGAAGATTGGAGTGATCTGTTTCAATTAGCAATTATAGCTAAAGAAAACATAGATATAGAAAATCTACTCAATCCGTCGGAGAGACAACATCCATTACCACCAAATTTGAAAACCCACCGGACGGTGAAACAGACGCCCAAAGACGCTTGAGATTGGAGAGAAATATCCAAGAACAAAGAAGATATGACGAAGAAGAAACAGCTTCGATAAAAACCGAAACTAAGAAATTTAACGGAATGCGTATAGAAGAAGCAGACAAGAAATTACGATCAGTCTTATATCTGGCATTGGGAAATGCAATTATTGCTAAACATACTTATTTAATTAACCGGTCACTTAGTTATGACCTTCACTAGCCATTCTCTCCGGCGGAGAGAATGATCTCTTATTGTTTTAATGTTTTAACTTAACGACTAATTCATATTATTTCTTATTCTTTTTAATAGTTTTAATTTAGAATTAGCTACAACTAAGTAATATTTTATCAGATATTAATTTACAAAATGTTCATTTTTTTGTATTTAATCCACATTCCAAGCTATCTGCATTTTCTGTTAACGTTCGAAAAAAACATAATGGTTACTTTGTTTCAGAGACAGGGATCTCAAATTCTTTGCCTGACAATTGACTTCTTGGAAGAGAACTCAACACATCTTGGCTTGAACGAGCTACAACTATCTGCCAGACCAGCAATGAAAAGTATATAAGCTTCATCGGAACAAGCGCGCATTCAGGGGGTTTATTATTGCTCATTCTAGCAGTGTTTTGGTTTGGTTCAGTCGCTTTGTTTAAAAGAATAGTTTCAGAAATAAAGCAAAAAATAATGTTTTGAAAAAATAAAATGAGACTTTGTGATGATCGGAACTTCTGTGCTATTTGCAGAGCAACCAGCAATCTGTGTAATACAGATGTATTTACACTTGTATAAGGGACTAATCAGCTAACCAGTTAGTTTCAGAAATTTAAAAAATCCAAGTGTCAGATATTTGTATAAAATTAGAGCGTTAAACGCAGATAATAAACTGTGCCATTTTTGTTTTCAGCGGTGGATAGTTTGTTCCAGTCTTTCATTCTGGACGAGGACTCGGGCCAATCTTTTCAAGATCTTTACGTTAGTTCGAAATATCAGATTTTATTTATAGAAGTCATGGGTATCATTTATCAACCCACAGTTTGACTGGTTTTATTTTTCATAATCATATCAACCCAGTTGCCAAAACGAAAATTTTTGTCGGGTTGATTGAAAAATTAGAAGAATCGTTTGAAGACCTTTCGTCGACCTTTTTAATTTTCGTCGACCTTTTTCTTTAGGTCGATCAAATTGATTTGCGATATCTCCTCCCAAAGCACTAAAAGACATTATTTTTGCCAAAACTTTGCGAGTTTCCTCCTCAAAATTATCTAAAGTTGGATTTTTTGCGTTTTCTGGGAAATTTTTTTTTCAAAAATAGTAATAATTTGTTTCAAAGAGAAAATATTAGGATAATTTACAAAAGTAAACACCCAGTCCATATCATGAAAATACGCCAAAAACATATTCATTTGGCTTAAATTTTTTTTTTATTGAGATGCTTTTTTTTTCAGGATCCAGATCTGATCGAAGCTTTCGACTCACTTTTTGACTCCCTCTCAACTCTAAACGGAGACAAACTTCCCATCCAATTACCCCCTGTGACTTACAACTTCTCCCTCGTGGCAATAGCTGTGAAGCGGGTGACCAAGGGGGACTTCAGTGAGTCATCGGGGGAGGTGTTGTCGTCTATCGGAGTGCAGTCGCCGCCCGAGTTGGATTTGAGTTCGGGCGAGGGAGAAACTGTCATCGTTTCGGTTATAATAATCTCTAATTTCGAATGCAAATATCATGAAGGATGGACAATAGTTTTGCAAAGTTTCATTTTCTCGCAAGATTCATAACCTGTGTCTGGACTCAAAACTTGCAAGACATATTGGAAGAATATTTTTGGGTCTTTTTGGTTATATATCTCTCCTCAGTTAAATGAAAGAAAAAAACCGAAAATTTTATTGCAAAAGACAGAAAATTTAATTACAAATGTAGGGAGTAAGTCAAAGGCCTTTAAATTCTCACTTCAACGTAGGTCAATTTTAGCTTGCAATTTTGGTTTTCAAAGCAACGTGCTCCCTCAAAGTTTTTTGTTTGATAAGCAAGAGTTGAAACTTTTCATAGATGCTTTTTTGAAAAAATCTTTTTGATAAAAAATATTTAAACAAACTAGTGATCTTCAACTGATGCCGACTCTGCGTCTCAAGAATTCTGCTCTTCAAGTTTTCGGGGTGACCCACTCGTCGAGATGAAATTCTCTTTGGGTTACCCTTTAGACATTGATAATAGTGATAATTTGCTGTTGTAATTTAGCTGGTAAAATAAAACTCAAAGTCAAAGTTTATAACGAAACACTAGGCAATTCAAACTTTACAACAAACTCAAATTCAAGGCTAAAAATTTCAAAGCAAATACAAGCAAATAAGGCACAAACATTTTTTTAGAAAACTGACTAGAAAACCAAAATAAAGAAAACTTTTTTCAAACTTTTTTGCAGAAATCGTTCCATTTTTTTAAAAAGTTTTTGTTCTCAGAATGGAGCTACAAAACTCCAACAAATAATTTTACTTGCTTAAAATTAAGTTTTTAGTGCTTAAACTTTAAATTTCTTCTGATTAAGGATTTTTAAGTCTGCTCGCTTGCAGGGGCGGATCTAGGATTTTCTCGAGGGGGGGGGGCGGATTTTCAAAAAATTTTCCAAAATTTTGACGACCTTTTTTTTTTTTTTAGGTCGACCAAATTGATATTTCGAGCTCTCCCAAAGCATTGTTTTGCCCCTATTTTGGCGAAATTTTCTGCGCCGCAGGCAAGTTTTTGAAAAAACAGTCAAAAAAGCCGTTTTTGGGCACTTTTTGAAAAATTTTGACAAAAAATCGCGTTTTTTTTGGCGCGCGCTCCCCCTCAAAAATAGTATATATTGGCGCCAATGCGCCTTTAGAAAAATTTTAGGGTCGGTCGGCCAAAAATGGATTTCTGAAAAAGTATCAAAGGGGGGACCCTTTGGGTCGGCAGGGGGTCGAATCCCTGAGGGAGGGGGCGTCCGCCCCCCCCGCCCCCCTAAATCCACCCCTGCTCGCTTGCTTTATTTGCTCGAATTAGGCGAAAAATCAAAATTTTCAAACTTGTTTTTCTCAACACTTGGAAAATTTTTGGATGCTTTTTGAATCAAGTAAGGGCTTTAATATGGTACATGGTAAAAAGTGAAACACACCCGAATACAAGGTTCCTACCCATTTTCCATGGTTGGACCAAAAACGTATAGTTGAACGTCAATCGCTGCTACTTGGTTTGCTGGTTTGCGAACTGAATGAAACTCTGCAATGATTTACATGATGAATGCAAATCATACAAGTATTGTGCAAGAAGGAACCAAGACAAAAAATTTTCCCATTGTTTGTGAAATTCAAGTCTTCATTACTCCCAAACGAAACCTAAAAAGTTCAAAAAACCTAAACACCATAAAAAAGTGAAAAAAAGACATTGCTTTCTACTTTTTCCTCTAGCCTGTTGCTCTTGATCTTTTGAACAGACAATTCAACGCTTCACTTAAAACTATCTATCCATTTTACTAAAGAATAGACTACGGGTAGACAAATTTGAAGCATTTTAATTAACTTTTTACCCGCGGGTATGAAGCATTTTTATTAACTTTTTTTGTGATATTTTGGAGTGCAAAATTTTTTTTACAAAATGAAGTTTTCTTCTAAATCAAACGTTCTATATATACAGACTGACTACAGATTATATATGATGTTATACTTATCACATAGAAATTTTTGTGGTTATCTCTACTACTAAGTTTTGATAAAATAAAAATAAAATTTTTAATGTATCTTTCAGCTGATTTTTTTTGGCGCTGATATTTGCATTTAAACAAACATGTTTGCCTCTGAAATATTTGACTTTGATTTTAAAAAAAATTTATGTTAAAAACATTTTAAAGACAATGCTGAATAAAAAACTGTTAATGAAGGTGGCTTTTAAAGCAAATTCGTTTGAGTGCACTTCTTTTACGGTCCACGACAGCCTGTCGATTGCAAAAATTGACAGGGTTCTGAATGAAATCATGTTTTGATCTAACAAATCTTTTCAACTAAACAGTTAGGGAGTAGGAAAGTTTGCTTATAACAGAGAAAATTAGCAAAAAAAAATAATTTGAAAACTTTTTAAGAGAAAAAGTTTTCAAGATCGCAAAAAATCGCCTCAAAATAAAACATCTTAAAAAATAAAACCAGTTTTAATTCATGATCTTTACAAAACCGCAAAAATTGATATCGTTCGGTTTAACTAAACAAATGTTTTTGGCCCAATGTCTCAGTTTTGTCAGCCCAGATAATTGGTGGAAGTTGGGCATCCGATATTAAATAGCGTTCTTTTTAGTGTAGAAAAAATAAATATCAGGTTTTGTTGAATTTTTAACAATTTCCGAAAAAAACTATATAACAAAGTTATGTGAATTTTTATGTAACGCTAAGCATAAAAAGTTTTCTCTCAATGTCCTGCAATCAATGTTTTGGATCTCGAAATGTATTCGACGAACAATTTTGTTCCCAAAATATTTTCGACGAATAATCAGCTCTGCGAACAAGGTGGCAGCATATCAGTTCTTCATAGATTACTGCTGTTATAACCTATAAGACATACAAGCATACAATCTTGTATCTTTTTTCTATTTTTTGTGAATATTGGCTCACTTTCAAACAATAAACAAGGATTACAGTGGGTATCGAACCACTGACCTATAGAACAAGAGGATAAAACGATACCTTAACGATACCTTTTCACTGTCGCTTCTCACCATTGCTCTTTTTGTGTTTTAGGTGGGGAACTACCATGCTAACATATACCTTCCAGATGCGTTTTCTGCATCTCTAAATCCGCATGTGAAACGAATTGAACTCAGAGACGAAATAAATGACATCATTCCAGGTTCAGTATCAGAAGTATGCATAACTATCTGAACTATCTCATGATAGTCCCAACCTGCCAACAGGCCCTCGAAAATATAGGTTCTCCACGACACCTGCTACCCCCAAACCCCCCCCCCCCCCCTCCCGCATCCATACACACACACATATACATACACCCAGTAGCGGATTAGGGGGAAGGGGGCGGGCGATAGGCGGGGGGGATAGGGGCTGGAGGTTCACACTTGTTTTTTAGGGATTCAACCCCCTGTTGACCCAAAGGGTCCACCCTTTGTACTATTTTGAGATATCCATTTTTGGCTGACTGACCTTAAAACTTTTCTAAAGACGCCTTTGGGGGGCTTTGAGAGGGGATCGCGCGCCGAAAAAACGCATTTTTTCTGTCGAAATTTTCAAAAAAGTGCCTAAAAACGCTATTTTTGGCCTGTTTTTCAAAAATTTGCCTGCCGCGCAGAAATTTTAGTTAAAACAGGGTCTTTATAGTGGTTTAGGAGAGCTCAGAAAAATAATTTGGTCGACCTACAAAAAAAGGTCGACAAAATTTTCAAAATTTTTTTGAAAATCCGCCCCCCCCCCTCGAGAAATTCCTAGATCAGCGCCTTTTTTTGGTGATATAGAAGATTTAGTGGGGGTTGGCTAAAATGAGAAAACTTGAAAAAACTTGCAAAATATAGACGCCTGAAAACAGACAATTTGGGTCTTACGGCGCATCTAAACAATATACTTTTTTTGTGAGAGCACATATTATATTTGTAATGAAATGTTCAATATGTTTTGGAAAATTTTTCTGACGAATACTTTTACGGTTATGATTATGGTTACGATTACAAATAAACCTAGCCTAGAAAATATATGTTTTTTAAACTTTCAGTGAAAGATCTGGACAAACCATTCGCGGTTCAATTCGATACCCAATACAGTCGAAACGTTTCAAATTTGAACCCGAGTACAGATCAACCCGGCCTAGAAGGACAACAAAACTTGCCTAATTTTAATCCTGATGACAATGGATTTGACAGGAGAATAGTATCTGTGATTGACGGAGGTTCAAGTGTGTTGATATGTCTGCAAATTGACGGAGGATCGACTGACTATGAATATTTCATAAGGGTATTGCAGATTATTTATATGCGTTTGAGTTTTTTTTAATTTTTGTGAAGTGGTTTGAATAATCAAGACTGTGTTGAAAAAAAAACAGCCCTATTCGAGGAAATGTGTGATCTTGTTTTTGAAGCTTTTCTGAAGTTTTTTGAGGTCGTTCACAAAAAATCACGACTGAAAGGGCTTTAATTGAATATATCACTCGACCAAATCCGATGATTATTTGTGGTACCTGATTTTGCGTGGAATACAAAAAGAAAAAAAAATTAAAACGGCTGAATACAAATTTCAAACGGTCGGAACAAAAAAATCGAATTGCATTGCAGATTGTTTTTGCGTCTCATACTCATAAAAATTCGAAGTTAAATTCCACCACAGAGCCTCTTTTGGATCTCTTGAACTATTTCCCCCACTTTTGCAAAAGGGAAGATTCATTACTAGGTACAAAACTCACTTATGTGTAACCGTTAAATTATAGGGTGTTAAGGTTATTGGGGGTGGCAGTTCGTTACTAACTACCATAGGGGGGGGGGGGGGTTGATATATGAAGAGGATCCCATTTCCATTAATCTTTTTGAGTCTATTTCAGATGAATGAGAGAGCAAATACTACCAACTATCAACTGACAGGACTACTCTCACAGCAGATAATAGGGTCGGATGACACGCAGCCACATTGCGTCGAAGTCCCCTCGGGAATGGTTAATAGTGGGGACGAAATCCACTTTGCATATCGTCCACAAGGTTGGGCTGTTCCAGTATTCCAGTGCACCTTTTACCCAAAATCCCCCCCCCCCCCCCAGCCTTCTCACAAAATACCCCACCCACCTCTTCCCACCCTCCCATCTCGGTGACCGAACACTATTCAATTAAACTTAGTGATAAGTCATTTATAAAACTGGCAGACGAACCTAAAAGTGAATCTGAATGGTGAAAAATGGCGAGACTGCTGTAAAAACATCTGTACAAATACCGCCATGTCAATAGCAATCTCAAAGAACAGACATTATATTTTTTCTGACATACATGCTGGTTGTAACAAACTTTTTTCGTCTTAGGTTTGATTTTGATCTCAATGTTCCAATTGACTAATCAATGACCTAATATTCATTTTTTATGAATCAAGTTTTAAGTAGTTTTACTTTAAATGTACAACAACTGAAACTAGGGGGTTTTAAACATGTGGAGGCCAACTCAGTGTTCATAGAATTTAAACAGATTATTATTTGTTCTAATTTCTACTTCAGATCCTGACGCAGCAGCTCTTACAATATCTGTGGGTAGCTTTTCCCGCTCCTGTAGATGGTGGAACGAAAATTCTACCAAATGGGTCACGGACGGGTGCAAGGTAAAAAGTTAGACCAGATAAGGATCTAGCATTTTCTCAAGGGGGGGGGGCGGATTGTCAAAATTGTCTTGACTTTTTTTAAGGGTCGACCATAGCGATTTTCCGATCTCCTAGATCACTGCAATGACCCTATTTTGACCACAATTTTATCCGCCTTCCTAAATCGGCCCCTGAATTTAACAGTCGATGCAGTTAGACACCTGCGTAGCAGACAGTCTAAAAATAGGATAGTAACAGCGACCTACAGAAAAATGCAGGCAAAAAGTATTAAAATGTCATATACTTAGGTTAGGACGGTTTATCTATAAAGGAAAGGACCAACATACGAGCTGTTTCTATACAAAATTTGAACTTATTTTTTTTGGACATCAGTTGATTCTCAGATCTGAAATTCGTTAGATATGAAATTTGGATCTAAAACAGAAACTCTCAGACATAAAATAAGATCTGAAAAACCATTTGTTAAAATATAATATATGCATGTGGAAAAAATTATTGAGTTTTCACTTTCTGCTGTTTCCGCCACGCCATATGCAGTTATATTCAGGTTAATTAGCGGGAAAAAAGTTCATAACACAAAAACATTTTTAAACTAATTTTCTTGTTCAACTGTTTTAAAAAATTTCAAAATCTAATCGAAAACCGATCAAGTTTTAATTTTCATACGCGACTTATGCGTTTCCAATGATTATCTCTCCGCACCGAAGTTTTTCCGATTATTATCTATAATCTGGCGATTTTGTGGTCGAACCAAAAATTATTCTTTTAATAATCAACTATCTGGTGATTTTGTGGTCGCAGAGTAAAAAATAATCGATTATATGGAGAAAACAATCCAAAAAAAAGCTTAATTTTTATGTCGATTATATTGGAAATATAATAGATTATAATAGATTATAATTTAAACAAAGTTGATATAAAAATTCGATCAAAAAACACAAAAATGTGCGACGTCAACTTTTTCAAATTCTTAGTTGCCTGAGCATGAAAATATAAGATTTTTAGCAACAAAAAAAAAGCTTTTAAGTAATTTTCGAACTGAATTTCAAGTTTTGTTACGTGTCTTGTTCTTACATCATTCTGTGCATTTCGAGACCTCACTCTATCCCATCAGAACTCGAAATAATGAATTTGATTTGAATGGGCGGGATGAGCGGCAGGCATGAAAAATGACTTAACTCAACAAAAAAGACTTCGTAAACTTGTTTAATTTGCATTGTATTGCAAATTTCTGGAATCGTTACAATTGTTTTTGCCCAAGATCTGATTTACAATAATGATTTACTATGATTTCATTGCATATTTTCGAGCTCAAATCTGGTTTATATTGACAATATTCTTGAATTTTTACATATGTTTTTGCACCAAATCTGATTTACAATGATGGTATTTTTGTTGCATATTTTTTTGTGCCGAAAATCTTGTTTATATTAATGATTTTCATGATTTGTGTCGTTTGGTTTGAATTCAATTTTTGCTTTGAGTTTTCAATTAGCATGCTTTTAAGAAGAGAAAAATCAATTTTTCTGACAATATAATCAAATTTTTTGACAAAATAATCGGTTTTATTGCAATTCTATGGCGATAGCAATAGTTTTTGTTGCGGTTTTATGGCAAAAACAATAGATTTTATTGCTGTTTTTTAAAAACAAAAGATTTGATTGCAATTTTATGGCATAAGCAATCGATTTTATTGCGATTTCATGGCGATTTCAGGGCAAAAAAATAAGTTTTATTGAGATTATGTGGAGATAAAAATACATTTTAGTGGAATTACAAGGCAATATATTCTTGATGAAAATAATCTATTTTCTTTCAATTTTAATAGAAAATGTTGCTTAAATTGGTTACACATAATCGATTATAATGGCAATAATTTCGGCAACATTTTCTCAATATAATCTATTTTTATCCGAGAAACTTCGGTGCGGGTCATGCTTTGAAATTTGAGTTCGAGCAGTCTCCAAACTGAATTCTGAGCATCTAGCGGAACAAAAATTAGCAAAAATTGTCTCTGCTCATTGATTTTTTCAGGTCTGAAAAAAAACAAAAAAAAACACAAAATTTCAGATCTGAAATGACCATTTTGAAATTTTTTGAGCGTTACTTGAACATTTTACAACCTTTTTTAGATCTGAAAAAAATTAATTCAGATCCTAATTTACTGGGTACGGGGAAGAGCCACTGTTCTGACCCCTGGTTAAGATTTACATACATTTTTTGGCTATTTTTCTGGGCTGAATATTGTTGTCTCGCCCTCGAACAACAAGCAAAGATCCAAGTGGGCCTCAAACATCCGATCTTTCGATTGTGTTGCGGAGATTGTGTAACCACTTTATCATCGCTCACATAAGTTGTTATAATATTTTTTTCCCGAAAATATTTTGAAGTAACATTCACACTTAGACAGTTCTGTCATTGTGAATTATTTTCAAGCATCAGTATAAATTCTCTCAAGTTGTTAAGGATGATGATTGGCTGCCGTACCAAAACTTCGAACGTAAGAGATTTACCTACCTAAAAAAAGAAAATCTACTAAATCATTTTTTGCATGTACCAGTTTGACCTCCATACACCGACAATGCTATAGTCATACAGTTCAATACAATTTGTCTATGAAAAAACGTCTCTCATACTTTGCCATGCCATACTGAACTTAAAAAAAAACAATTTCTTTCAAGAAACTCAATTTCTTTTTTTTTCCAAATTTTTGGTCGAAAAGAGTAAAAAATTCAAAAAAAACTTTTATCGTCTTTGCTTTCTTGCATTCAGCAGAAATTTATTTAAAAAACGACAAGGAAATTAAGATCAGCGAAAAAACTCTACAACAGAACTATGCTTATTGCCAATTTCAAAAAATTGAATGACTACGTGAAATTACTGCTTCAGTGCTGGTTTTACTCCATGACTTGATATCTTGCTGTATTTCTTGTAGTTTTCTAATGTCGTTGTAACTGATGATTGTTAACCATTTAGAGATACTGTGGATTGAAACAAACAAAAACGTTATTAGGGTTTAAAGCAAGCAAAAAAGAAACAGCTGAATATACAATTCTGAAAAACAGCCACGTGAACCCAGAGAAGACCACACTTAATATAAAGTCACTCTTGTTTCCCAGCCATTTTTTTGAGTGAACAACTTCGAGAGTGGAAAAAAAAACAAGACTAATCGAGTGTTCCTTAATTTCACTTCGTGAAGTGGTTGAAACAAAATTAAGAAAAAAAATGTCCAAAATGATGTTTTTCCAAGAATCCAAAATGATGTTTTTTTTTCAGGTGTCCCAAAGTAGCACCCTTGTGAACACAATCTGTGAATGTACCCACTTGACCTCGTTCACGACTGAGTTCGTGGTGGCCCCCAATGTGCCCGACTTCACAGTCTGGAGTGACCCGGCTGATATGTTGAGCAACCCAGCTGTCGTCTCCTTCTGTCTGGGAGTAATGGGACTGTATGTGTTGCTGGCTCTCTGGGCCAGACGCATGGATAACAACGACTTATACAAGGTAGCGAAAATTGAGGCAAAAGCAAAACAAATTAATTTTTGAATCTCAAACTTATTTCGACAACAATTTTTTTAGCAATGAAAACTTTTAAATCGCCTATTTCATAAAATTGCAGAACTTTTTACATCACAAAGCTGAAGAGTGTTTTACTTGTCATATATAGATTTCTGTATCATGAAGAAATGCGAAATTTTCAAAATGAAAAGCATTACATTACGAAGAAAGATGTAGAGCTAAGATAATTATAATATATGAAACAAAACGACTATAAATGGACGCCAGTTAATGTGCAGTTTCCGAATATTACAATTAATAACGATTTTAAACCAAAAGTAAACTTATGACTTTCTTTTGCAAAATTCTGAAAACCGGTGTTTTAATAACAGTTTTATACCAGATTTGTACCAGATTTAACTTAATCTGAATTTATTTAACTTTTTAAATTGAATTTCCATGACTTTTTTCTCCTTCTTTCGATTTAGTGGGACATGCTGCCGCTAGTCGGGAATGAAGAGGTCCCCCATCCAGGGTACAAGTACGAGATCACAGTCTACACGGGACTGAGGAGGGCTGCCGGCACCTACTCCAGGGCATTCTTCATACTCGGAGGCGAGAAAAACACCAGTGCCGTTCGGGAGTTGGACGACGGAGAGCGAAACGTATGTCGAGAGAGAAAATAAACAGGCCAAAGTATAAACCAATCAAAAATAAGCGGCGTATATATGGTAGCCGGAACGTTACGTCATATGAATACATTTGCATGACTTTCGTAACTATTACATAATTGCCGTTACATAACCATTACATACATTTTACCAGTTTTCGGCTGGTTGATACTTCGTCTGCTTTATACTTCAGCTGGTTTATATACCACCGTATGTCGATGAAGTATTTTTTTGGGTCATCGAAACTCAGATTATAGATTTATCTCGGATACCAAATCGGATTTTGATAAAATGTTACTTTGTTGTAGCTAATTCTAAGTTAAAACTATTAAAAAGAATAAGAATTAAGATGAATTAGTCGGTAAGTTAAAACATTAAAACAGTGAGAGATCATTCTCTCCGCCGGAGAGAATGGCTAATGAAGGTCATAACTAAGTGACCAGTTAATTAAATAAGTATGTTTAGCAATAATTGCAAAACCTGATGTAAAATCACAACATTCCCTTAAGCAGGAAAAAATTTAAATTGCAATATAGTAATGCACAATAACTAACTATGACTGACTCCTTTCTCCCCCTTTAAGGACGAGGAAAGAAAATTAAAGCGCCTTAAGATGAGGTACTAACACTAAGTAAGCTCCACTAGTGTTAAATGACAGCAACAAAGGTTATCCAGATTCCGATGGATAAGGGTTATGTTAAGATGAGATAAAGGCATCACGTTTTGGCACAACGCTGAATTTAGGACCACGTTTTATGAGTGAGGTCATGGTTTATAATGCGCGAGTGAAGAGGATATGATTTAAAGAAATTATGGGAGCAACAGATGATAATTTCTTTTGTAGGGTGAAATTTATCCGAAGGATAAAGTTGTCGAATTTAGCAAACACATTTTGGTAACTGGAAAATTAGCACCGGTTTACAAGGTAAAATGCGTAGATAGCACATAATTTTAATGGAGTTGGTCTTGGTTTGTAAAACACAAACTGGAGTGAAGGCGAATTAAAGAATTTAGGAAAACACGTGAAGATGTCTTCTTTTTACTACATGAAATTTTATCCGCAGGGTTAAGTTCTTAAGTTTAGTGAACGGCCGTTAATATCTGAATGTTAGCACCGGTTTACTCAGTAATGTGTGTTATTTGGTAAGCCAGAATATCAGATTAAAGTATATCTAAGTGGTTATAAAGTTTTATAGTCTTTTAAAAAGTTTTCGAGTTCAGTGTTGAAAAGTTCACTATCAAGATCGGAGTGGTCGCCGAAATTTGCTATTTCCATTCTCAGTGATTCATCGGTTGATGAGTTTGACATTTGATCTGATGAAGATGATGAATCTGAATCTAGAACAATTAACTCCGCCGGATTCGTCTTGTTGATTGTCTCATGTGGTTCCTCAATCTCTAACACAATAGGCTCGGCCGCCGAACCAGAGGCTTCTTGGACACTCTCTACGGCATCAATAAAGTAACGTTGACCATAAAATTTTGGTGGGCCGACATTTCTACTAGAGCGACGGATAGTAGCAGGAATTTTACCGGGTATTATGGCAGGACTGTTGGATATAGTGCACTCATCCGTTGAGTCACTTATCTCATACACCGGAAAGTCTGTGTTTGAGTCGGTCTCCGTTGGATTATGCTCAACTTGTAAGTCATTTTGTCCAATGGTGTCGTTTTCCCCTCCCTGATTTGCGGTTCTCTGATCCGCCGAGTTAGATGTTCGGCTGGCTGGCACTATACTTATTGGGCACTCATATGATTGATCCATGGGTTGTTCACTGATTGGGAAACTGTCGTTTTCTAAAATCTCAAATTTTATTTCAGGATTGGTTATAGTAGAATTAAAATTATTTCCGATTGAGATGTGAGGTGTAAGTGAATCCGAAATAAAGCGCTCTCTGGCTACGTCTCTACAAGGAAAACCGCCCGCTATCCATTCCCATTCACTAGTATCCGAAATATCCGAAGGAATTAGCATAGATTCATCCGAAGCGAGGTAACCTGGATGAGTTGGTGACTTCTTTGAGCGTCGTGTCTGTCTTCTTGTCGGGATGGATGATGATCCAGAAATGCGTGTCCTAGTTAGGTTATCGGATGATGTCGGGTCTAATTGTCTGGTCCTTCTTTTTGTTGACTTCTTGGGTTTTGGTTTTCTTTTTGAGCCTTCCAGTTTCTGACCTACTTCAACATTAGGGTTAGAAAAGTACGGGAATGAAATGTTTCCTCTAAAAGGTCTGATTTTATTTGAGGTAGAGATAGGAATCGCAATGTCGGATTTTCGTATTATTTTTCCGTCGGATAACTTAACTGTCGAAGTCGAAGAATTTATAATTCTTTTGTTTAGTTCTTTATAAAAACAGTCTCGGTTGATATTACCATTAGTTTTCCGAAGGATTTTACCTTTAAAAGGGCTTTCGATTGGTATTCTGTTTTGAGTCATTTTCGAGGATGAAGCATAGTCTGTATCGTAGCCTTTTTCAGTCGGATTTTGGTTCTTCTTCGCAATCAAATCGTCCTTGTATCCGTCCTCTATTCTATCATCCGCGTTCCAATCCTTAGCTCGATCCTTAGACAATATTGATTTCCCTTTGTCTAAAATTCCAAAGGAAGGTTTACCCGAAGCTAATTGTTTCCAAATAGTATTTGGTTTTCTGTTATAGTGGATCTCGAAAGGTGAGCATTTAATTTTTGATTGGAAAGTAGAACGTAGGTTCCAAATGATTTTTGAAACGGCATTTTGCAGTGTGGTTTTATGATGTTCTTTTGAGATAGCCAGTAGTTTGACTTTTACAGTGTGTACAAGTTTTTCGACTAATCCGTTGGAACGGTGATCGCCTACTGTACAAAAGATTATTTTGATGTTGTTAGAATCGCAGAATGATTTGAAGTCTTGACTTGTAAAGCAAGTAGCATGATCCACCCTTATAGAATAAGGTATCCCGTGTAAGAATATGTAGTCTTGTAAAAATTCTATAACTGTCTTTGAAGAGGTAGATGATGTAATTTTTGCCGACGGAAATTTAGAAAATCTGTCAATACAAAGTAAAATGTATTTATTTGACCCCCAATAAGAATCCAAAGGACCCGCGAAATCTAAATTAAGTTCTTCATTTGGTTCTGATAATGGAGGAAGTTCACTAATTTGTGAATTAGGAATAACAGATTTTATATTCTTACCCGCCGATGTACACTCTGAGCAATTAATTCCATGAAAGTAGATTTGTCTGTTAATGTGGGGCCACCAAATGTATTGGGCCAAATATTTCATTCCGAATTGACCTGGATGTGTTTTGTGAAAATGGTTCGTGAAAATGGGTAATTTTCATTTGATTTTTGATTTTTCCAATCCGAAGGAATAAATTTTTAAATGACTTTGATATATTAAGGATTTCCCTATCTTGGTTTGTTTGGGAAATGGAATTTATTGACTTACACTGCTTGTTGGTCTGGAAATGTGGAAAATGTTTCTGAGAGACTTCTATTCCCACTTTTGGAAGGTTGTCGTTTCCTAAGATATTCCTTTCATGTCCTTCGGTTAGGAAGAATTGACAGTCGTTGTCTGACCAACCATTTGAGAATATCGGAATCTTCACCTTTCCAGTGATGTTTATGGCATTATCCGTGAATCCACAGTAAAGGTCTCTAGTTGTCTTATCCACCGGATAAATTTTCAAGTAGGGATCGCGTAATTTCAATTCGTGAAGTACGTTTTTCTTAAGAAAGCTCACCGGGCTAGCTGAATCCACTTGAATGTTTAAAATTACTTGGTTTTCTTTTCCGAGTCCGATGTTTAATAATTTCTTCAGTTCCTTTCCGTCGTTATCAAAAATTGTAGTTACATTTAGTACAGAGTAATCGTCGTTTTCACTTTGTCCAGATTCCGACCATGCGTTTATGACGCCGCAACATTCTCTATCCGTGTGGTCGTTATTTACATCCGGAAAATCCGACGGATTAAAATCTGTATTATCTACAATTTGAGTATTTACAATGTTTACATTTTTACGTCGAGATCTACAAAGTCTGGTGAAATGACCTTTGAATTTACAAGAAGTACAAGTCGTGTCCTTTGCTGGGCAAACTGCTAAGTGTCCTTTTGAGAATGAACCGCCACACTTCATACAGCTGTTACTTCTTTCGATGTTGAGAGTTGGTTCTCTTTTGACGTTAAAATGGTTGTTTGGTTTATATACAGATGATCCGTTGGATTTAAAATTATTAGTTAACTTCAAGTGATTCAGAATTCCTTTTTCATCGATGAGTGCTACGTTTAGTGCTTCGCGTGGAGGGAGGGTTTCTGTTAATAATTTCCTTTGGATGTCGTAGTTTTTCATATTATTTATGAAAATATCTCTTATCCACTCTTCTTCTCCTGCGGATATGTCGCACTTTTTCGCCATTTCAGCTAAGGCACCCCAAAATTGTTCGAGGGATTCTCTGTCGCGTTGTTTTCTATTTAACAGTTTATGTCGTTCAAATGTGACATTTGATTTTCTTACGAAAGCAATCGCTAAGAACTCCCAGAATTCTTTAAAGGAAATTTGTAAGACTTTCACCTTGGTAAATTTCTGTCCGAAGATCCTTTGTCCTTCATTTCCCAATGCCAGATATAAGACCGAACGTAATTTCTTGTCTGCTTCTTCTATTCGCATTCCGTTAAATTTCTTAGTTTCGGTTTTTATCGAAGCTGTTTCTTCTTCGTCATATCGTCTTTGTTCTTGGGTATTTCTCTCCAATCTCAAGCGTCTTTGGGCGTCTGTTTCACCGTCCGGTGGGTTTTCCAAATTTGGTGGTAGTGGATGTTGTCTCTCCGACGGATTGAGTAGATTTTCTATATCTATGTTTTCTTTAGCAATTATAGCTAATTGAAACAGATCACTCCAATCTTCCCAAGGAATGGGTGGGTCTACCGTATGGTTTTGCCAAAAGGGAGGTATTCCTCTCACGTTGGATTCGTTAGATGACTGCGCCATGATAAAATGTTACTTTGTTGTAGCTAATTCTAAGTTAAAACTATTAAAAAGAATTAGTCGGTAAGTTAAAACATTAAAACAGTGAGAGATCATTCTCTCCGCCGGAGAGAATGGCTAATGAAGGTCATAACTAAGTGACCAGTTAATTAAATAAGTATGTTTAGCAATAATTGCAAAACCTGATGTAAAATCACAACAGATTTTAAAAAAAAATTGTTATCAAAATTATGACTAGATCTGCTTTGATTCTGTTGATCAGTAGAAGAGCTGATAAAAGTTACGAGAAAACTTCTGTTTTGGAGTATCAAGCAAAAGCCAAAGTCATGAACATAACATCGATGATATCTCTCTATTATATCTGAATAAATAGATAAATAGTAAAAAGCATCAAACTAACTTTTTTCCCATCTCAGATTCTGCAGCGAGCGAGTATGGATCGGTTCCTGATGAAGACGGATTCCCATTTGGGGCCTCTGACCTACTTGCGTCTCTGGCACGACAACTCGGGGGAGGGGGCAGGGGCTTCGTGGTTCCTGGACAAGGTCACTGTCAAGGACATGAAAACAGACAGAGTGTAAGAAGCAAGAACATTGGTACTAGTTCAGAAGTATTGTCTTCTATGACTGATTTTAGTATGGGTACTTTTAGTATGGATCGTTTTCGTATGGGTAATTTTAGTATGGATCAATTTAGTTTGGATCAATTTAGTATGGATCATTTTAGTAATGGTAGTTCGACGGGACCATAATTCTAAACGTGGTTTTTAACGGGACCATACTTCTCAACGAGTAGCTGAATCTTTTTAAAGATTATGACGAAAAAACTTGCAAACATTTTCTGCAAAAAGTACCTGCAAAAAGTATCTAGTTAAATCAAATCATTCCCTTTCAATATTTTATATTCGCAACAGTTATAAAAGCTTTTGTCAAACGGAGTTTCTTGATTAGATCATGTTCATTACTTTAAACAAAAATAATAGGGGGAATTTTAAACTTGAAAATAGGCAAACTTTCAAAGATTTTCGAAACTACTGCGGTTTTGAGTTAGGTCAAACAGAATTTTCTTCAAAAATTTTGAAAAATGTCGGTTTCAACCTAAACCTTTTGCACGAAACTTGGTATAATTTTGTTTTTGCGCTTCTAAAATCTTACCAGAGGAGAATTAAGGGAGAGAGAGGAATGCCCCTTATCTCAAAGATTAGACCCCGTAGCCACCAACAGGGTCCCCCTTTTGGTACTAGTTTATGAAAGCCATTTTCCCGCCGTCGGACTCTTGATTGAAATTTTTCTTGTGGTATACTAACTGCTTTTTTTTTTGGGGGGGGGGGGGGCAAAAAAACGCACTTTTTTGTCAAAAACTTCCAAAAATTGCCCAAACACGATTTGTTTGCCTGTTTTTATTTCAAAAATTTGCTGGTGGTGCAGAAACTTAAGTCAAAATAACGTCTCTATTGTGTTTTGATAGAGCTTAGAAAGTCAGTTAGGTCGATCTATGAAAAAATTCAAAAAGTTTTTCGAAAGTTTTCTGAAAATCCCCCTTTCTCCCTGTAGAAAATCATCCTTCATCCGCGCCTGATTTCTACCACGCTTAATAGGAAACAAACTTCTAACTGATATTAAAATATCAATTATTTCTGATCGTTTTTTCGTTTGTTTCAGATACACTTTCCTGTGTAATAACTGGCTGGCGATTGACGAGGCAGATGGCAAACTGGAACGACTCATGTGTCCTGCCACTGCCGAAGATCTGATCAGTCCTAGGAATGTATTCGAAGAAAAGGCAATTAATTGTTCAAAAATTTGATTTCTTTCAGTTAGAGAATGGATTTAATGAAGATTATTCTAATGAAAAATAACATTTCATACAAAATAATAAAAGCAGAAAAAAGCTAGTTTTTGGGATTTGTGTTTTTAGTATATAAATTTCTTGTTTTCGAAAAGTGTTCGAAAATGTATTCGATAATATAATAACATCTGCGGTGTTGAAATATTTATCCAGGCCAGCACTGGTATAACGGACGGACACATGTGGCTGTCAGTGGCAGTGAGACCCCAGCAGAGCTCCTTCTCCAGGGTCCAGAGACTCACCTGTTGTCTCAGCTGGCTCGCACTCACCATGGTCGCATCTGCCATGTGGTCTGCATCTCTAGTCAAATTCATACGCCAAAACCAACGTTTTTTTTCCAAAAGCAGATTTTGTTTTCCGAAACCAGATCATTTTTTAAACATAACCAGATTTTTTATTTACAAAATCAGAGTTTTCATTCAAAAATCAATTTTTTGAAGTGTAATAATAGATTCGAGCTTTTTTAAAGGTTTTTGGAAACGCTTAAGGGTTCATCTTTTTATTCACCCAGTATGAATCTACAGTTCTCGAATAGCTTTCCCAGCCTATTTTGAAACTTTGATTTTCAGAAATAGTCACAAACATAAAAATCAGTTTATATATTTAAAAAAAAAACGGTTTCAAAATCAGAACTCAAGTTTAAAGAAAGTTGTTTTTAAATTTAGTTTTGATTACAGAGCTAGAAAAATTTTAATCGATTTTTTTTTGGTTGTGCACTTTTTTAAACAAAATTATTTTGCGCTATACTTTTGATACAAAACTATTTTTTTTGAACTATGCTTGTGAGACGCTTTTTCCTTGCCCAGTTGATATAATAATTGTCTATACACCACAGGTACGAGCGTGAACAGTCTGGCATCTCCCTGGAAGTATCTCTGGGTCCGATCTCTGCCTCCCTCAGTGAGATCATAGTGTCGATCCAGGCCAGTCTGGTCACATTCCCAATCAACTTCCTGGTCGTGTTTATGTTCAAACGCACAGCCACCAGAGAACAGTGGAGGGAGAGGAAGCTAGCTAGAGGGCAGAAGGGAAAGTCCAAAGGTGAGGGCGCTAAGTAGGGTTCCGTAGCAAAAAGCAGACATATCATTAACCAATCATAATCGAGATCAGAAAGCATACGCATGCAAGAAAGTAATCATCTAATTCGTACGTTTGTAGTCTTATCTCAATTCTGATTGGTTTTTTACGAGTCAATTTTTGATCTGTCTAATTTGTGATCATTTCTCCTGAAAAGAATTCACTGCTCAGCAGGCTACCCGGGTTGACGTCCATACAAGAAAAATGCCTATCATACAATTTCATATACAGAATTTATGGAAAAGATGCTTTTCATGAAAGTTTTTTGGAACAAAATTGTATGTTAAGCATTTTTTTGCTCGAAACTTTTTTTTTCGAAAAAGAATATAATTGAGTTCAACCTAAACAATACAAAAAAGTAGCAGTTTTAGTTACATAGGAGCAATTTGGACATCAAAAAGACTTTTGGTAAAAAAAAACGTGCACTATCATACAATTTCAAATATGAAGTTTGTATGATATGCATTTTTTCCATAAAATTTTTTTTCGAGATAGCAACAAATCTCTCCTTTTTTGATTGCAAGCTCGTTTCTGTGCTCAAATAAACATTTCACGAAAAAAAATTTCACGCAAAATTGATACTTTGTATCTATAACGTAGTCCAAGTTGAGTTTTTAATTCGAAAAATCACGAATGAGTGTTGATTTTAAAAACCATACCAATTATTTTTTCTTCAAACGCCAAGATAAACTTGAAAACAGGCCTCTTTTCTCAACCATCAAAATCTTAAGAGTGAAACTTTTTAGCCGTTTTAAATAAAATACACTTAAGTATATGACTCTGAGGGAAAAAATAAGATGGCTGAAATAACCAAATGCAGGTTATATGCATGATCACTGCCACGAACAATGAATTTTTTTTTTTGATAGAAATCCTTGGATATTGTGCTTTTGGATAAAACACAAAAATTTGAGGCAATTTTTCCCGCATTTTCATTATGGAAAAAATGCTTATCATACAATTTCATAGCATAAAAAATCGCTTTTGCTATTTTCACAAAGTTGTTGTGATAAGAAGCAGGACAAAAAACTTGTAATTTAAACCCAGATTAGGGCCAAAAATTCATTTAAGAGAGATTTTATATTTTAGAAAATATGCTGACTGTGCTATTTTCATACGATTTCTGTTGGTCTATGAAATTGTATAAAATTGTATGACAAGCTTTTTTTGTCAACCCGGGTATTTCATGTATGACTCAAAAAATTTAAAGTTATGAATCAAAATTAATCAGCAACACAAACTTTTGGTATATGCATCGACAAAATTGAGATAAAGTGAAGTCAGTTTTTTTTAAAAACAGGTTATTTAAAAACTACGAATTGAGTAATTTTGAGCTTTTTTTGACAAGTAATTTGGCTTAAAAATGCCTTAAATAAATTTTTTCAATCTCTGTTAGGCTAATTCTTGAATTATTCAGTAAATGATTGAAAGGGACCGAGTAGTTAATGGAGCTTTTTTAAGATTGAGTACGCCGTGTGTTTGTGATGCTATTTTTTTCGGCCGGATAGTTTTGTGCAAATCCTTATTTAATTGCTGGTCTTATTCTGAGAAGAGTTCTGCAGTGAACAGTGGCAAAAGCATTTTTAAGTTTGAAATTTTTTTTAAAGCTTTACTGTAAGCATTCTGATTGGTCAAACTGATCAAAAAACAAAATTTAAATAAAACTTTGTAGTGGCTCAAGTTTGGTAAAAGATAAATATTTTAAAATTGAAACTTAAAATGTTGAAGTTTTAACAAACATGACCCATTACTAAACCTTCATAAAATCTTATTTTTTGATTAGTTTGACCCATCATAATTTTTTCAGAATATCTGAAAGAAATTTGGTTAAAAAATTGCCATCGTGATCTACAGATCTTCTATCTGATTGAGGGTTAGACTAAGACCAGTAACAGAATAAGGATTTGCACAAAACTATCCAGCCAAAAAAGATAGCGTCACAAAAAGACGTTGTACTGAACTCTCAATTTACTGATTTTTAAATTTTGTAGAAAAATTTGAAGCTTAGATATTAAAGTTTACTATCTAAGAAAGAGTCGTTCAGTTTAAAAAATGTCGTTCAGTAGGATGAAAATACAAAAACAAAATAAGAGCTTAAATAAAAAAAGAGTCTAACAAAACACTTTTTTTACCTTTAGTTCTAAACCAAACTCAAAATTTTTCTGAGTGGCCTAGTACACTAATAGCGAGGGATGAACACACGCTGAAAAAAAAAATTTTCTGTCGGTTCGTTTCAAAAACAATTTGGTTAGATCTAAGAAAAACGTTCAAAAAATATTTTAAAAAATCAAAAATAGAACCAAAACTTTTGCGCACGCTAGAAAAAAATTGTACTGTACATGAAATGTATCAATCAAAATAAAACGTTTTGATAAAAGTCTATTCATAGCAATTGAAATGACGCACAGACAATTTTGCCGAGGACAATTCAGCCAATTTGAAATTCAACCAATTCAGCCGGAAATATACAGACAATTCAGCCAGTTTTACAAAAGGCTAGATTCGAAAGAAAAAAATGGAATTGGAGTTATTTCTCGGTCTAAGGTCGCCGGTGGGCTGTTCCTACCCTCTGTTGGCAAGCTCGCCGGTCCCTCCCTCTGTTGGCAAGCTCGCAACACGTTGGCGCGACCGCGGCGGTCACTATTATTGGCTGAATTGTCTTTGGCTGAATTGTCTGCATACTTTTGGCTGAATTGTCTGAATTTCAAATCGGCTGAATTGTCTTTGGCCGAATTGTCTGGACGCGATTGAAATATGAATGAAACGTATCAAAAATTGTATGACACGATTTAAAAAAGTTTTAAATTTCAAGCTGTAAAAATGTTTCTAAAAAGTAGAATCAACTTGATTTAGAACAGATTGCAATTGATAGTTTTAGCTGCGGTTGAAATATTTTAAATGAGATCTTTGCATTCTCGGTATAATACTTATCTGGATCTTAATTTCAGAAAAACTGTGATGATATTTTGATTTTGTTTATCGTTATGATCAAAACTAATCTTAAGGCTTTGATTATAATTACAAAAGCTTTCTTTTGCTAGCAATTGGTGTCCAATAATTAAATTGGATTATAGGAACAGCAAAAATTGGAAAGTTATTTCAAAACATATCATCGCGATGATTTATCTTTTCATTATGAATGTTTCTGAACAAAAATGATTATTAGGTTTCTAGAAAAATCCCTGTTTTTCAGCCCGTTGTGTGTTCCACCCCTGGACAAAGTACCTGGCCTTCCTCTTGTCCTATTCTGCCACCCTTCTGGCTCTGTTTGTGTGTGTGACTTACAGCCTCACTTGGGGAGAGAAGAAGAGCAATTCATGGCTCATTGGCATGGTTCTGTCCACATTCCAGAACATATTCCTTGTCCAACCGCTCCAGGTAAAATGAATTGAGTGTTTTTTAGAATTGAGATAAAAAACAGATCTAAGAATTTAAATAGGGAGAATTTTTGGTTCAAAAAAGAAACAATTCGTTTATATTCATAAAGTGTATCCCAGAGTTTTTTCATCCTGGTAAAACACCAAAAACGCCAGTGAGCTGTCGATCGAGTAAGGTCTTATCTCAAAGGAGGTCATATGGATCTCCTAACCTTTAACGTTTTTTTTTCGAACCTTGTCTCGTTTTTTTTCAATTTTAAGATTTATTTTATTTGGCGCAAAAGGCGCCTTTTTCTGGCAATTCCTTAATCATTATTATTTTTTGCAATTTCAGCAAATGGTTTTCATGCTTCCATCCGTATAAGTTTTATCTGTAGATTGACGATATCTAGTTCGAACTTAATATTAATTGGTAGGTTTTAATGTGCAATAATTGACTGCGTGTTGTTCTAGGCTGTTCTGGTGGCGATATTCTTCGTGATTCTCTTCAAGACTTCATCTGCTCGGAAGTCAATGCTGGAAAAGGAAGAAGAAGAGGAAACTGTGGACGAGAAATCGGATTCCAAGACAGCCAAGAAACAGACTTATAAAGGTAGCAAAAAACACTGAATCCTTAAAACCACAAAGATTACTTCAAATTTTATCAGTTTTGCTATGAATTTTTAACCGCAATTTATTGCTTATCGTGACTGCTGCAGTTGGTTTGTGGGCCTATGGGTAAAGTTTTTGTTAAAAAGTTCGTTATTTTCTTCAAGTAGAAAAAAAATCAAAAAAAGTTTAATAGGGAAAATTTCAAAAAAATATACGACATGAATTAAGTAAAACTACCAAGAAATATGCACGAAAAAGTATTTTCAAAAACAAAAACTGCTGAGGTTTTTTGAAAGCTTTCAAAAGATGTTAAAGAAAAAAGTTGAAAAAACGACAGAAATAATCAAAAAAAAATAATTGAAAGGACAGTAAGAGCAAGACCCAGAGTCTGCTTGTTTTCAGGCCTCGACGCTGACAACATCAGCATCCTATCTCGCAAAGAAATGCTGCGAGCGAAGCGAAACAGAAAACGGGAAAGGAACTACGAAAACGCACTCGCATTCATTCTCAAGTACACTGTGTTCTTGACTCTGCTGTTCATTGTTGCTTATGGAAACAGGAATGCTTACTCTTATGTTTATTACAACAACATTCAGAAGGAGCTCAACTCTTCGTTCTTATACGTTAGTTGATCATTTAAAAAGAAACATAGACTAGTAAAAACAGCTGATTTCAAATACACAAAGCTTTTTGTTTTGTTTTGTGTTTTATTTTAAGTTTCTTTTTGTATTTTTTCCATTTTGTTCTGAAAAGGCCGTGTGACTTCTGCCCATTACCTCTTTTTATTTGGGTTACTGCCAGACCCAGCAAACAGTTTGGCTCCACATGAGCGAAAGTGGTTTTCGATGGGAGTTTCTAACTGAATGAATTATTCACCCAGGGCAGTTTAGGAGCGGTCGAAATCCCGAGTTCGAACCCCTCACATAAACTTTTTGTGTTTTCTGTTTGTTGATTTTTGCTGTTTTTTGAAATGTGGCCAAGAATTTCTCAAAAATTTTGGATTTTTGTCACCAAATTCGCTCAATTATTTTATTCGATGGCACTGATCTATGCTAATTTTCCAAACAGGTTGTAGACCAAAATAACAGGAAAGGAAAGTGTCTATTAAGTTTTTTGAGCAAACTTTTTAAATCGAATTGACCTAGCTACCTGCCACAACCCAATCTAAGTGAGCCACCTTTATTTCCTTTCATGTATGTTTTTTCAGAAATCAGGAACCCGGGGGGACTTTTGGGCGTATATGGAGAACGTGAGTTCACATGCTCAGTTCAGTGATGAGTGTGGGGGGTACTGTTTCGGAGACGGAGTCTCAGTTAAGATTGGGGCAGCACAACTCAGACAAGTCAGAGTCAGACCAGGTAAGTGTGGGGTTGTGATGCCAGAAAAACACTGAACACCTGTTATAGTTTTCACTGGATCAACTGAGAGATCTCCAACAAACAAAAATGGCAAATGTAAAAATAAAACAATTTCAAATGCGAGCAGGTGGTTAAAATGTATATAGGTCGCAATCAATTGACCGTCTGAAAATTTTTATATAGAAGTGTCGAGAAAAAAAATTGAAAAAAAAAGTCAAAAATTTTTCAATTTTTCCGATTTTGTTTCGTTTGGGCGATCAATGCTTCGACGTAAACAAGTAACCGTTGTCAGTTTTCTGAACTCTACTTAGCCAAAAAATCTAAAGCATTCTTTTGATGGGTGTATTTAGGTAATGTTCAACAGATCAACAGAAAAAAATCGGTTAAAAATCCAACAAATTTGGCCATGATTGGTTCTCTGGGTTTAATGGCAATCTGGCAAACAGCTTTATCATACATTATTCTTCTTTTGGTCTTTCGTTTTTTTTCGTTCTGACAAATCTTTAACATATATAAATACTTGTCTCTGGACTCCAGAGACCTACACACAGCAAACTGAGCGCTCTTACAGTGCACACTTTGGCCTCGTAAAGGTATGATCAAAAACACTTGAGTGGTTATAAAAAGTTCTCCCGTATCTATTGAGTTCTCCCCCTCCCCCGTAAAGCCGTAATAAGTTGTGGAATTTTCCTCAGTTTTTTTTCTAAAATTTTTTATGGTACAAATGACACCCCTATTTATTCAAATGGACAGGTATAGTAACGCGGGTTGACAAAAATGCTTGTCCAAAAATTTAATCTTCTGAATAAAACGCTTATCAAACACTTTGATACAATTTCATAAAAAAAAAATTGTAACAAAGTCGTGAAATATGCATACTTTTCATTTTGCAAACGTTTTCATACTTACTTTGTTTGTCATAGTAAGTATGGAACTCTTTGATCGTTCTGACAACAGGTTTAAAGACTTGTCTCTGGATTCCAGAGACCTTCACTCACCAAAACTTGCGCCTTTCCACAGCTTGACCTTCTGAAGATATCATTAAATATTATTGGTTATAAACAGGTCTCAAGTATATTGAGCTATACCACCCCCCCCCCCAAAAATCTGAATTGGGGCTGGTAATTGCTCTGTTGGTCTCTGTTTCATATGACAAGACTACTTATTCAAATAGACAGATATAGTAGCGCAGGTTGACAAAAATAACCATTATTTTTAATTCCATTTTTCATTATGATCAGCTCATCACACAATTCCATACTATGAGCAAAATAATTATCATTTATTTTCATCCAAATTTTAAGATAAAAAAGATAAAAATTCAAAAAATGCATTTTTCTCCATAGTATGAGTTTTTATAACAAACCATTTGTTTCCCCGCCGCACCCTGGAACTAAAAAACTTGTTCTTTTGCCAATTTTTTTAAAGAAAAATTGAGTGGAAAAAGGCAAAAACTTATTTGAAACTGTATGATAGGCCTTTTTTTCGTGAATTAAAACGCAGAAAAAAAATGTTTTGAATCTTTATGTTTTGTCCAAAATCACAATAACCAAAGATATCTATAAAACCCAGAGAGGAAGTGGCAGTGCAGTTATCAGGCAGATAAACTTATATAGTTAATATTAGCTACGTATTTTTATCATTTTCATTCAGAGATTTATACTAAAATGTAACTTGAAAAACTTAGTGGTTGAGAAAAGAGGTCTGCGTTCTATAACAAAATTTGGTATATCTTAGCATATGAAAAAAGGGTGATTGTGATTTTCAAAAAAAAAACAGTCGCTTATGATTTTTTTTGTGAAAAAATCAGTATGGCCTACGCTATATACACAAAATATCAAATTTTGGGTCAAAAATTTTTTTGATACCAAAATTGCTCGCAATTATTCAAAACAGCCTTTAATTTGTATTGTTTGAATTTTGAACTAACTTAATATAATTTTCGAAAAAAAAGTTTCGATTGAAAAAATGTTTATCGCACAGTTTTCTTATGACAAGCATTTTATACATAGACTCCTTGTATCAAATTGTGTGATTAGTATTTTTCTCGTTTGGACGTGAACTCGGGAATACATAGAAAGATGGAAAAAATAACTTAAAAAATTGCTTTTTTTTACAAAACTGTTCAGAGAAAAATTGAAAAAACTTGGTTTACTTGGGGTAGCGTCCAAGTTTTTGTGAGTTATCCAATTAAAACTTTAATTTTTGTTGTTTATAAAACTTTCGTTAAACTCATTTTAGTATTTGGTGTTATGTTAGTTTTTGTGTTTTTTCAGATTGTGTAGTAATCGACCTTATGCAAAACAACATAGACGTAGATTGTTTCTCCTCCTTCTCTCTCTCCGACTCCGAAGACAGAGACTTCAGGAATGGATCGTGGGACGAAATTGTCGACGAAGAGAGAGGTGTTTCGGAGTCTATCGATCCCTGGAGGTACCACTCGATGGTAGAAACGAGGGCTCTTCCCTTTTTGGGAAAATACAAAACGTATCCAGGTTTGTATACTATGTATCCTAATGCACTTATTTTAACTAATTCATCTTATTCACCTAATTTGCCTAATTCATCTTATTCTTCTTAGTCACATAACTCGAGAAGTCAGACGTGATAAAAAAAATTTTAGCAAATGAATTCAATTGAGCTTAATCGCAGGAAAATTTATATATAGCATTGAAATTATTCACATTTTTGACGTTTTCTTGCGGTAATAATTTAACTTTTATATAATTTTTTTTTCGACTTTTCAACAAATTTTTGTACAGAAAGTTTTTCATTTACATGATTCAGAAATTAACAAAAAAATTTAAAAATTACAGGAGTGGGCTACGTTCAGAAACTTCCAGGAACCCTGGAGGCCACCCTGGACGTACTGGACACTCTGCGTCGTTCCTCGTGGGTGGACAGACAGACCAGACTGGTGCTGTATCAGTTCAACCTCTACAACTTCAACTCCAACCTCTTCGCAGTTGTGAGTGTCGCGTGGGAGTTCCTCGCGGAGAGTGGGGGAATCGCGACTGTCAACATCGATGTAAGTGGTGTTTCTGTGATTGAAATTGATAAATTAGGTTGGACATTCTATGCTACTTGCAGAGCATTAACTAACCATCATTAGGTTTTGAAGTTATTTTTATCAAACGCGATTCGAAAACAAGAAGAAATTTCAGTTGAATGGATAGTTTTGAAAAAATTTAATTGTTAATTATGTTTGGATTTTTGTGGTCAACACTCTTTTTGTATATTGTGCCCGACCGGATTTCTTATTTATTGATATATTACGTGTATAATGAACCCAGGTTTGTGGTTTAGATGCCGAACATCCGTCTGTTGACCTCTTCGTATGGGTATGTGCTCACAGTTCTGGAGGTCATCCTGTTCATCATATACTGCATTCAACTCATCAACATACTCATATCCGTAAGTCATCCATCTTTAGTACCAGTCTTCAAATAACTCACCTGAAAACGTCATCAAGTTAAGTTTCGGTAGTTTTTTTAAATAAATTTTCCAAACTGAATATATCAGAAGTCAGACCACCTATCCACGAGGGATAGGAACAAAATACGAGCTGTACAGCTCATCGCGGCGAACCGTGCCGCTGTTCAAGAACTACATGTATATTTTTTGGTTATGTTTCTGGGCTGCTTCACCCTCAAGCATTGTTACTACTCTCAGGTATTGTTGCTTCACCCTCAAGCAACGAGCACGGATCATGGTGGGCCTCGAACATCCGACCTTTCGATTGAGAGGCGGAGACGTAACCACTTCACCACTGCTCCACTAATATATAACTTTTATGATTCAGATGGTGAAAATGGGTCCTCTGCAGTACATGAAGAGTGTGTGGAATGTGTTGCAGATGTGCATCACTGCACTGGGTTTGGGATCCATCTTCGTGTATGTGAACAGAGAGATAGAGACCAGAACCATCCTGGGGGACATCACGCCACAGTCTCAAGGTCAGGCGGGGTTAAGGTCAGGCAGAGGTCAAGGTTGTCAGTGTTGGGTTCTGAAAACTGGCAAAAAAGCCAATACTTTATTCTTAACTTAAGTTTTCCCCTGCAGTCATTGTTCCAATTTTTTTCAGTTAGTTTCTCAAAACAGCAGGAAAACCATAACTGGTGCAAAACATATTGCTTAAAACAAACAAAATTTTCAGTTGCATAACTAATTTCTTAACACTAACAAAATTTTCAGTTGCAAAACTAATTTCTTAAAATAACAAATTTTTCAGTTGCAAAACTAATTTTTTAACAGTAATAAAATTTTCAGTTGCAGAACTAGTTTCTTAAAACTAACAAAATTTTCAGTTGCAAAACTAATTTCTTATAACTAACAAAATTATCAGTTGGAAAACTAATTTCTTAAAACTAACAAAATTATCAGTTGCAAGACTAATTTCTTGAAACTAACAAATTTTGCAAAACACTTTCTGCCAATATCTATTCTTGTATACGCACAGTCAGTCGCCATTTTTTGTGAAGCATTTTCCAAGATCTACTTTGGAGTATTTGCAAAAACAAATCAATGTTGTGTTTCAGAGTTCTACGAAATGTCGACTGTGGTGATGTGGAACGAACTGTACATTCTGCTCACTGGCTTAATCGTCTTCTTCGTCTGTGGTAACACTTTATGTTCTTGTTCCGCATTTGATAAGAAGCCACTTCAATTTCCGAGTAACTGCTCTGTAAGTCCTTTACTCGGAAATTGAAGTCTTTTTTTTTACAATTATGTTTTCCCAACCTCAGTTTTTTGATCGGAGACTTTCGTCCGAAAAATCTATTAGTCTGAAATCTATTTTATTTTGTCCCGCATGTATACAATTTCTTTAAAAAATATTTTACTAATGTTGTGATCTTACATCAGGTTTTGCAATTATTGCAAAACATACTTAGTTAATTAACCGGTCACTCATATATGACCTTCATGAGCCATTCTCTCCGGCGGAGAGAATGATCTCTCATTGTTTTAATGTTTTAACTTATCGACTAATTCATCTTAATTCTTATTCTTTTTATTAGTTTTAACCTAGAATTAGCTACAACAAAGTAACATTTTATCATGGCGCAGTCATCTTACGAATCTAACGTGAGAGGAATACCTCCCTTTTGGCAAAACCATACGGTAGACCCACCCATCCCTTGGGAAGACTGGAGTGATCTGTTTCAATTAGCTATAATTGCTAAGGAAAACATAGATATAGAAAATTTACTCAATCCGTCGGAGAGACATCACTCACTACCTCCAAATTTGGAAAACTCAACGGACGGTGAAACAGATACTCAGAGACGCTCGAGATTGGAGAGAAAATCCCAAGAACAAAGACGATATGACGAAGAAGAAACAGCATCGATAAAAACCGAAACCAAGAAATTCAACGGAATGCGAATAGAAGAAGCAGACAAGAAATTACGTTCGGTTTTATATCTGGCACTGGGAAATGAAGGAAAAAGGATCTTCGGACAAAAATTTACCAAGGTGAAAGTCTTACAAATTTCTTTTAAGGAATTCTGGGAGTTCTTAGCGATCGCTTTCGTAAGAAAAACAAATGTCACATTTGAACGACATAAACTGTTAAATAGAAAACAACGCGATAGAGAATCCCTCGAACAATTCTGGGATGCCTTAGCTGAAATGGCGAAAAAGTGCGACATAATCGCAGGAGAAGAAGAGTGGATAAGGGATATTTTCATAAATAATATGAAAAACTACGACATCCAAAGGAAATTGTTAACAGAAACCCTCCCTCCACGCGAAGCACTAAATGTAGCACTCATAGACGAAAAAGGAATTTTAAATCACTTGAAGTTAACCAATAATTTTAAATCCAACGGACCATCCGTACACAAACCAAGCAACCACTTTAACGTTAAAAGAGAACCAACCCTTAACATCGAAAGGAGTAACAATTGTATGAAGTGTGGCGGATTATTCTCAAAAGGTCACTTAGCAGTTTGCCCAGCAAAGGACACGACTTGTACTTCATGTAAATTCAAAGGACATTTCACCAGACTTTGTAGATCTCGTCGCAAAAATGTAAACATTGTAAATACCCAAATTGTAGATAATACAGATTTTAATCCGTCGGATATTCAGGATGTAAATACTGACCTCATGGATAGAGAATGTTGTGGCGTCATAAACGCATGGTCAGAATCTGGACAAAGCGAAAACGACGATTATTCTGTACTAAATGTAACTACGATTTTTGATAACGATGGAAAAGAACTGAAGAAACTATTGAACATTGGACTCGGAAAAGAAAACCAAGTAATTTTAAACATTCAAGTGGATTCAGCTAGCCCGGTGAGCTTCCTTAAGAAAAACGTACTTCACGAATTAAAGTTACGAGACCCCTACTTGAAAATTTATCCTGTGGATAAGTCAACTAGAGACCTATACTGTGGATTCACAGATAATGCCATAAACATCACTGGAAAGGTGAAACTTCCGATATTTTCAAATGGTTGGTCAGACAACGGCTGTCAATTCTTTCTAACCGAGGGACACGAGAGAAATATCTTAGGAAACGACAACCTTCCAAAAGTGGGGATAGAAGTCTCTCAGAAACACTTCCCACACTTTCAGACTAACAAGCAGTGTAAGTCAATAAATTCCATCTCTCAAACAAACCAAGATAGGGAAATTTTGAATATAACAAAATCATTCAAAAATTTATTCCTTCGGATTGGAAAAATTAAAAATCAGATGAAAATCACTCATTTCCATGAACCCTTAAAACCAATCCAACTAAAGGGAAGACGAGTCCCCCTTCACTTACTGGACGCGGTAAAGACAGAACTCAATAGACTAAAAGCGGAAGGACATATTAAAAAATTAGAAAACTGCGATGAAGACAGATTCATTAGCCCAATAGTCATCATTTGTAAAAAAGATAAATCCATCAAATTAGCCTTAGATTCCAAGTTCATAAACAAACAGATTTACAAGAACAAATATCAAATGCCAAACATCCACGAACTGGTAGACAATGTCGCGGCACAAATTACTAATGATTCCGTTGGAGAAGTGTGGTTTACTAACTTAGACTTAAAAAACGCGTACAGCCAATTAGCACTAGATAAATTCACTAGTAACCAATGTAACTTCAGTATCGTGGGTGGTGATATTACGGGTACTTACCAATTTTTAACTGGTTTTTACGGCTTAGGGGATATGCCTAACGAATTTCAAAGAGTAATGGACTCTACGTTAGGTTCAATCCCATTTACTAACTGTTACTTGGACGATATTTTAATCTCTTCCAAAGGATCATTCTTAGACCACAAGAATATTGTATTAAAAATTTTATCGACCCTCGACGAATACAATTTCGCGGTGAAATGGTCAAAATGTAAATTCTTTCAAAAAGAAAAAGAATGGTTGGGATTCAAAATCTCTAAATCAGGTATTACCCCATTATTCGACAAATCGAAAGCCATAAAAGATCTACCTATTCCGAAGAATTTAAAAGAACTACGATCATTTTTTGGTTCTATAAACCAATACATTAAATTCGTCCCAAACTTAGCATCCTTAGGAAGCCCACTCCGACCGCTTCTAAATAAGAAATCAATATTCCAATGGAACGATGACCATACAAAAGCGTTTGAAATCGTAAACCTAGCAGAGAATACCCATTTTGACGTGAAACGTAAAACTAGAGTAAAAACAGACGCGTCACATAATGGACTCGGAGCTTCGCTTGAACAACTCCATGGGAACGATTGGAAAACAATCTCATTTGCTTCACGCTTTTTAAACCCTCACGAGTCTAAATATTCTACGAACGAGCTCGAACTACTAGGGGTTGTATGGGCCGTCGAACATTATAAGAATTACCTTTACGGATCAGATTTCGAAGTAATTACTGATCACAAAGCTTTATTATCCGCTTTATCACCAAACCACGGGAATAAAACTTACCACAGTAGACTAACAAGATGGGTAGACAGATTATTACCTTTTAATTTCTCTATCAAACATATCGCAGGAAAAGACATGGGTTTCACTGACCTTATTTCTAGAATTCCATCAGGAAAAGCTCTTCCAATATCACATTACGATGAAGACATCGTAGTAGCAAACATTAATAAGATTAATAAATCATTAAATCCGTCGGAGAAAATAAGAACTACATGCTCAGCCATTGGTTTTAATCTGGAAAATTCCGATTACGCTTTATTACGTAATTACCTAATAGCAGCAGTGTTAAAAATCATTAACTCGTCTTTTCCAATTTGCTCATTTAATCACAAAAGAACAGAATTTTGCACTTCAAATTGCATTCCAACGGATTATTCTAATACAAATACATTAAATATTTCCATTTCTAATTCCGCATTTCTTTATTTTTTAATCTCTAATTGTAGTTTAATTATTTCACCTGTAGATAAAAAAATTGTAGATACTGTTAATATGAATAATAAGAATATTGTAATTAATCCCACCACTTCCGGTATTTCCGTAGATTTAGACTTTCAACTTTTATCAGACCACGCTAATCTAGTTAAAAAATACCGCGAAAACTTGAAGTTGCCGGATCGACCCTTGGATTTAAATATTTTATTTAACGCCAAGTTAGTAGCTCTCTTGACAGAAGACGATCCCATGTTAAGCCCAATTGTTAAAGCACTTCAAAATAAGGTGGAGAAGATTAATGCAGATTCTCCGTATTTCAAACATTTTACCCGAGACCTGCACGAATCCGACGGATTGCTCTATATGGACGGTAAACTCGTTATTCCATTTACTTTACGAAGCGCGATGATGAAGAACCTCCACGAAACACATCCAGGTCAATTTGGAATGAATTACTTGGCTCAATACATCTGGTGGCCTCATATTAACAGGCAAATCTACTTTCACGGGATAAATTGCTCAGAATGTACATCGGCGGGTAAGAATTTGAAAACTGTCATTCCTAAGTCACAAATTAGTGAACTTCCTCCACTATTGGAACCGAACGAAGAACTTAATTTAGATTTCGCGAGTCCTTTGGATTCTTACTGGGGGCCAAAGAAATACATTTTACTTTGTATCGACAGATTTTCTAAATTCCCGTCGGCAAAAATTACATCGTCTACTTCTTCAAAAACAGTTGTAGAATTTTTACAAGACTACATATTCTTACACGGGATACCTTATTCTATAAGGGTAGATCACGCTACTTGCTTTACAAGTCAAGACTTCAAATCTTTCTGCGATTCCAACAACATCAAAATAATCTTTTGTACAGTAGGCGACCACCGTTCCAACGGATTAGTTGAAAAATTAGTTCACACTGTGAAAATCAAACTACTGGCTATTTCAAAAGAACATCATAAAAGCACACTACAGAGTGCCGTTTCAAAAATCATCTGGAATCTACGTTCTACCTATCAATCAAAAATTAAATGTTCACCCTTCGAAATCCACTATAACAGAAAACCAAATACTATTTGGAAACAACTAGCCTCTGTTAAACCCTCCTTTGGAATTTTAGACAAAGGGAAATCAATTCTGTCTAAGGAACGAGCTAAGGATTGGAATGCGGACGACAGACTAGAGGATGGCTACAAGGACGACTTGATAGCGAAGAAGAATCAAAACCCGAAAGAAAAAGGATACGACACGGACTATGCTTCATCCTCGAAAATCATCCCAAATAGACTACCAATCAAAAGTCCATTCAAAGGTAAAATCCTTCGGAAAACTAACGGTAACATCAACCGAGACTGTTTCTATAAGGAACTAAATAAAAGAATTATAGATTCTTCTACTTCAACAGTAAAATTATCCGACGGAAAAATAATTCGAAAATCCGACATTGCGATTCCTATTTCTACTTCAAATAAAATCAGACCTTTTAAAGGAAACATTTCATTCCCGTATTTTCCTAATCCTAATGTTGAAGTAGGTCAGAAACAGGAAGGCGTAAGACGTAAATCAGGAACGAAAAAGCCAACGAAAAAAAGGACCAGACAAGTGGATCCGACCCCGTCTGACAACTTAACTAGGACACGCATATCAGGGTCATCACGCAATACTACAAGAAGCCAAACACGCTACTCAAAGAAGTCATCAACTCCTCCAGGTTACCTTGCTTCGGATGAATCTATGCTAATTCCTTCGGATATTTCGGATACAAGTGAATGGGAATGGATAGCGGGCGGCTTCCCTTGTAGGGATGTAGCCAGAGAACGTTTTATTTCAGACTCACTTACACCTCACCTCTCAATCGCAAATAATTCTAATCACACCATAACCAATCCTGAAATAAAATCTGAGATTTTAGAAAACGACATTGAACCAAGCAGAGAACAACCTTTTGACCAATCTTACGAGTGCCCAATAAGTATGATACCCGCCAACCGAACACATAGTACTGAGGAGCAGAGAACCATAAACCAGGGAAGGGACAATGACACCATTGAACAACAGGACCTGCAAGACGTGCCTAATCCAATGGATAACGATTCAAATACGGACTTCCCGGTGTACGAGATTAATGACTCAACCGACGAGTGTACTTTACCTGACGAGTGTACTATACCTGCTAACCCTACCAGCATTTCCGGTAAAATTCCTCCTACCATCCGCCGCTCCAGTAGAAATGTTGGTCCACCAAAACTTTATGGTAAACGTTATTTTATTGATGCAGTAGAGAACGTTCAAGAAGCCTCGGGTTCGGCGGCCGATCCTATCGTGATAGAAATTGAAGGACCACACGACACCATCAACAAGACAAATCCGGCGGAGATAATTGTCTTAGATTCAAATTCAACATCACCTGATCAAACGTCAACTTCGTCAACCGACGAATCACTGAGAATGGAAATAGAAAATTTTGGAGATCACTCTGATCTCGATAGCGAACTTTTCAACACAGAACTTGAAAACTTTCTAAAAGAATATAAATCTTTGTAATCACTCAGCTATACTCTAATCTGTTATTTTGGCTTACCAAGAAGCACATACTAACTTATAAACTGGTGCTAATCTTCAAATATTAATTTGTCGATCGGTAAACGTAAGAACTTTATCCTTCGGATAAACTTAATCCAGAAAAAGAAAACATCATCGCGTGCTCTCATAAATCATCCAAATCGACTTCCCTTCAGTTAGTCTATTACAAAGCAAGACCCCACCCATAAAACGTTGGGTAAACTTCAACGCATTTTATTTTGCTTTAACATAACCCCTATCCGTTGGATTCCGGATAATTTTTCTTGCAGTTATAATAGCTATATTTAATGCTATAGGGAGCTTTAGTTAGTGTCAGTTCCTCATTTTTAAGGCGCTTTAATTTTCTTTCCCTCGTCCTTAAAGGGGGAGAAAGGAGTCAGTCATAGTTAGTTCTAGTGCATTACCTTATTCGCAATTTAAATTTTTTCCTGCTTAGGGGAATGTTGTGATCTTACATCAGGTTTTGCAATTATTGCAAAACATACTTAGTTAATTAACCGGTCACTCATATATGACCTTCATGAGCCATTCTCTCCGGCGGAGAGAATGATCTCTCATTGTTTTAATGTTTTAACTTATCGACTAATTTATCTTAATTTTTATTCTTTTTATTAGTTTTAACCTAGAATTAGCTACAACAAAGTAACATTTTATCAACTAAACAAAGAATAACCCCTAAAATTTACTCAACTCTCTTGTTGCAGCCAAACTTCTGCAGCTGATGTAGCCCATTGGAATTACCTGAACCATTTTTTCAATCGAGTAAAAATATATAATTTATTGTTTCGGTTGCTGATAAAAGTCAACTGTGTGAACTTAACCATATTTTCACCAAACAAAACGGTTGAATGGAGCAACAAAACTCAGTTTATTTTTATTATTGCAGCCAAACTTCTGCAGCTGATGTAGCCCATTGGAATTACCTGAACCATTTTTTCAATCGAGTAAAAATATATAATTTATTGTTTCGGTTGCTGATAAAAGTCAACTGTGTGAACTTAACCATATTTTCACCAAACAAAACGGTTGAATGGAGCAACAAAACTCCGTTTATTTTTATTATTGCAGCCAAACTTCTGCAGCTGATGTAGTCCATTGGGTTGACTTGAACCATATTTTCGATCGGGCAAAACAAATATAATTTTTTATTGTGTCGGTTGCTGATGAAATTCTTTATTTTCAATGTCGACCAACAAATAACTTTTTTCTTTATAACTTTATTTTCACTTCTTTATAACTTTATTTTCAATGCGTAGTTTATTTTTTTGTTGCAGCCAAACTTCTGCAACTGATGGAGTTCAACCGGGTGACTCGTCTGTTCGTGTCCATCCTCAAGCAGTGCTCCCCCTCCCTCGCCGCCTTCTCCCTCATGTTCGTCGTCATATTCCTCGCATTCTCCGTTTGTGGCAATCTCTTGTTCGGCAGAGTGTTGAGGAACTATTCCAGTTTCGTCAGTTCGCTGCAAGAGTGTGGATCTATGGTATTAGGTATGCTTATCAAATTAGATTTCCTCTTTTTTCAAGTATATATATTTTTACCCTACCGTTTTTACCATAAGTAATATTACCATATTTTACCCTCTGAAATTAGAACATTTATACTCCATGTAACTTCAACATTTTTCAGCATATCATCTTACATACAGCAAGCATTTTAACCCCTTACTTGTAAGTACAATTATTTTACAAACAAAGTTTGACAGGTAGAGCTTTTGAAGCCGTGCACCATCTTCAGTTGAAACTCATTTCATGAAAGTGTAGAAAAATTGAAAAACAATGAAGTACTATATAGTCGAGCGGATCTACGGTACTACATGTGCATTTTTTTGCACCGAATAATCATGGTGTTCTTTTGATTGTGTTCTCGAAAAACGTGCGCTTTCTGAATTGGTTTATAAAATGTTTTTTTTTTAGTCGCTGAGTTATTATATGAGGCATTTTTTTTTTGAATTTTAGACAATCTCTTTTTTCTGCGACAATTGTTTTTTGCAAAATTGGGTCCTTAATTTTTCTTTCTTTTATTTTTTTCTCAAATTATGTGTTTTTTGTACTCTCGTTTACTTTCGCATTCTCTAACGTGTTTTCACAATGTGGTTCATTTTTTTTCCCAAAACGGTTTATTTGCAACACATCACTTCAGACATAAAATCTATTTTGAAGAGAACCCCTTTAAACTTTAAAGAGACCCCCCTCTAGATCCGCCCCTTATTTACACCCTAAGTTGTTTAGGCAACTTCTCCTTCTGGAAGATGGTGTCTGTTCAGCCTGTTCTGGGTGGGATTTTCTTCCTGTTGTTCATGTGCAGCTGTTACATGATACTGCTCAATGTGTTCATGACCATACTCAACGACACCATAGCCGCCAGTCACCCCACCCAACACGCAAGTGAAATTATCAATTTTAAAACTTATCTCTGTTTTACTATCTATTTTACTTACTAATATATGTTAAACATATTGATTAATCAAATTAATTTTTGTTTAATAGGTCAATTAATTGAAAATATTAATTGCTCAGAAGTTGAAAACTATTGTATAAATTGCTTAGAAACTCAGGCTTAATGTAAAAATTACGTGGAGGGTCAACCTTAAGCTATAAAATTCGGAGCCATTTCATTTTTTTGTCAGATGCATTTTTGCATTGGAGTTCAATAACGGAGGTTTTTCTGCTATCTCAATTTGACCCGCGAATTGAAGTTGCGATGCAATTCAAAATTTTTCAATTTTTGGAATTATAATGAATCTTTTATACTACAGAATCATTTGAGCAATGTTTATTCACGATTCATCTACGAAACATGAATCCAAATGACATTGATGATTCATTGATAAACTATGACTAATTTATAGCTGTCAACAGAATCAAAGTACGTAGATGAGTCATTGATGAGTCATTGAGTCATAACATTCAAACTACATCATTGGATGTATTTCGGGCGCAGACTTAGTTTGAGCAAAAAATTCATGCAGAAAATTTACCGTCAGATATTTCAAAGAACAACAGTGACTCCACGTCAGTTGTTTACAGCAAACCGAAAAATGCTAAATATACTTCATTAAAATGGGGAAAAAAACTTTCTTCTCAACGGTTTTATGTGAAAAAGCACCTTAGTGCAGTTAAACAGATATATGATAAAATTAAGGATTTAGAAAAAATCTTTCTAGGTACTCTTATTTTTTTGTGCAAACATTATAACAACATATGATGTGCGAAACAAAAACCTACAGCAGCAAACCTTCAATTAGGGTTCAAAAATTGATAGAAAGTCGATAGCATATGGCTGATTCAGCGCTAAGTCAACGCTGACAAACATTATCGAAACGAACGAAAGTCATCAATGCACCATCAATGTGTTTGTCACCATCAAAGTGTTATCAATTAGAGAGGCACGTACATGTAATTTAAAAAATGTTTTGTTTAAAAAGTTAAGTTCAACCTGATTAGTAGTGACCCACAAACATTAAAAAAAGATTTTTCACGGATGCCTTTTGTGGCGCTGGAAGTAAACGCTAGCTTTGCAAAATTGTTTTTTTTTTTCAAAATGAAATCGGTAACCCATTAAAGCATGGCACTGCAAAAGGTGGTTGTCAAAATTGTGCTCTGAAATTAGCATATGCGCTTGAGTTTTATGGATAAAGATAAATTACGATAGATTTCTTTTTCAAAAATTGGAAGATATACTCAAGTATAGATTCAAAGTGAAAAGAAAATCCATTTTGCAAGGATTATTAAGAGCCATGAACGTAGTGAATACTCTTATGTAGGTCGTGTTAATTTGAATTTTTGCGAGTTTACTTTGGATTTCGTTTTAAAGTCAGTTCATTTTTTTTAGTTTAAAGGAAGGTAAACTCCACTATTGAACAGCAAATTGTGTAGTTAACAAAAAACGTGAACGATTTCTAATTTCAAAAGTAAAATTTAATTTACAAATTTCCCAGCGGAATAAAAAAAACTGCCTAATTTTTCAAAGTAACCAAATACATAAAAAGTTGTAATAAATGAAATCAGGCTTGGATTTAGGGTTTTATCGTGGTGGGTTAGAAAATCTGAAAAACATCTGTATAAAAAGTTTATTGATTGAACAATCAAAAAAGAGACAAAACCAATTTGAAATAATTTCAACCAACTTTGATTCTTGCTCGATTCGGCATGAAAATGAAATCAATACAAAAATGACAACAATTGATTAAAAATTGGGTTTTTGAGCTACATTTAAGCATTAAAACTAAACCAGTTGTGTATCAATATCGTTTTCTTGTCAGCAGGGGAGTAATGATGAATAGAAAGGATCAATAATTGACAGTAAAAATAGTAAACTAAAAACACTAAAGGAAGTAAACGCAAACCAGAAGGAAGAAAAGCTTGACAAAAGTTTGCTAAGCTAAGGCAGATCTCATTTTGTTTAATTCAACGTGTAGGAACATATGCCACGGTCAAGTTTTGACTTAAACTAGAAAAAAAATATTTGAATCATTTATAATCGATTAAAGTCGATTAAATTTAGTTTTTTCAAACTTGAGAATTAGTAACCGATTTTTAATCTAATACAATCGATCTTTTTTGAGATTTATAGACTTACAATGAAATTTTCTACTAACATTGAATACTATTTATAAAACTCCAGTGGGATATATAATAAGTGTGACATGTCTATTGGACCACCCTGTGGCTTATTCAATTCAAAGTAAAGTGTGTGAATTTGCAGGACGATGACTTCAGCAGTCTCTACTACACACTGATTCTTCTCAAGGACCTGTTGGGAATAGGGGGCAGACAGTCCCGCAGGGGTGCCAGATACAGAAAGAGATCACAAGCTAAAAAAGGTATATGAAATAGTACAGAAAACGATTATTATAATATGAATCATGCTGCTAGTATTAGCGCGAAGCACTTAACGTTCTGGTTGCCATTTAAAATCAAGCTTGTTTTTTCCAAAAAAAAAACACTTTTTTTTCAAAACCAAAAAAGTTTTTTCTTGTCAAAACGTAAACGGAAAAAATTCAAATTTTCATCCCCCTCACTCACGCTCTGTAAAGAAAAAAAGAACATGTTTTGGTCCGATAAAAAAAATTCGAGAAAAAAAATCCACTTTTGATTTATTCAATTTGCCACTTGCGCTTCAATAGCAGGAAATATATTGCGCGCTAATTTTCCAAAGTTGGCCAAACTAGAAATTTTCAAATCCCCATATCTTTATAAAAAAACTATCACATGTGAAAATATCTTTTGAATTTGAATTGCAGAAACCAGTACCTCTAAGATGATAATAAAGGAGGTTCCTCAAAGAAGGCTAGTTAAGAAATCAGGTTTTTGCCCATTGTTTTCAAATTAGTCTAGTCTTTTTCTGCGTGCCCGGGTTGACGTCCATAAAAGAAAAATGCTTATCATACAATTTCATATATGGCGACTATGGAAAAAAAAGCGTATCATACAATTTTTATACGAAAACTAAAAACTGTTTTAAACGTTTTTGGAGAAACACTGAGAGAAATACTTCATGATTTCAATTCCGGTCAAAAAAATGCTTCTCATATAACTTTCATATATGAAAATTATATTATATGCATTTTTTCTTAAGCAAAAACAAATTTGAAGAAAAAAATTATTAATACCTTTTTCGGTTGCAAATTTGCTTTTGTGCTCATATATGAATTTTCGCAAACAAAAAATTTTGCATGCAAAAATTGACTTTTTCTGTTTATAACGTAGTACAGGATGAGTTTTTCACCCAAAAAATCCAAAAATCACAAAAATGTGTTTTTTTTAAACATGATTATTAATTTTTTATTTCATTTGCTAAGATAAAAATAAATATGTAAAAAAGTAAGCCCTTTTTCTCGAATACCAAAATTTTCAAACCAAAAATTATCCAGTTATATACACAAATTTACGTTTTTGGTATATAATTCCATGTGAAAATGTAAAAAATAACGTAGGTGGCAAAATCACCAAATGCAGTTTATCTGCGTGGTAACTGCCAGTTACACTCTTGATTTTCTTATGACCAAAAGTCCAGGGTTAGTGTTTTGGATGAAACAAAAATTTTCAAAACTAATATTTTTTGGTATTTTCATTGATGGAAAAAATGCTTATCATACAATTTCATATTATAGAAAATTGCCTATCTTAATATTTCATAGTATGGAAAAAATGCTTGTCATGCTATTTTCATAGTATTTATTTTGGTCCATGAAATAGTATGATAGGTATTTGTTTCATAATTTGAAATATTATGATAAGAATTTTTTGTCAACCCGGGCGGTGTGATAAAAAAAATTTGCAAAAAAAAAAACAGAACCTAGGCAAGTTCGACAATGGTGTTAAAATCGGCCAATTTGAAACCGCTTTGTCTAAACAAAGACACAAGTTATTACGGCTGAAAAGTTTTAAAAAAAGTAATTTTCTCAGTTCGTTAGAGTCGTTGGAAATAAACAATTGAGAAAAGCAAAAATCCCATACATATTCAGTTAAGCTCAAGTTTAACGTTCTGACTGCCATTTAAAATCATGCTTGTTTTTTCCAAAAAAAACATTTTTTTTTCAAAACCAAAAAAGTTTTTTCTTGTCAAAACGTAAACGGAAAAAATTCAAATTTTCATCCCCCTCACTCACGCTCTGTAAAGAAAAAAAGAACATGTTTTGGTCCGATAAAAAAAATTCGAGAAAAAAAATCCACTTTTGATTTATTGAATTTGCCACTTGCGTTTCAATAGCAGGAAATATATTGCGCGCTAATTTTCCAAAGTTGGCCAAACTAGAAATTTTCAAATCCCCATATCTTTATAAAAAAACTATCACATGTGAAAATATCTTTTGAATTTGAATTGCAGAAACCAGTACCTCTAAGATGATAATAAAGGAGGTTCCTCAAAGAAGGCTAGTTAAGAAATCAGGTTTTTGCCCATTGTTTTCAAATTAGTCTAGTTTTTTTCTGCGTGCCAGGGTTGACGTCCATAAAAGAAAAATGCTTATCATACAATTTCATATATGGCGACTATGGAAAAAAAGCGTATCATACAATTTTTATACGAAAACTAAAAACTGTTTAAAACGTTTTTGGAGAAACACTGAGAGAAATACTTCATGATTTCAATTCCGGTCAAAAAAATGCTTCTCATATAACTTTCATATATGAAAATTATATTATATGCATTTTTTCTTAAGCAAAAACAAATTTGAAGAAAAAAATTATTAATACCTTTTTCGGTTGCAAATTTGCTTTTGTGCTCATATATGAATTTTCGTAAACAAAAAATTTTGCATGCAAAAATTGACTTTTTCTGTTTATAACGTAGTACAGGATGAGTTTTTCACCCAAAAAATCCAAAAATCACAAAAATGTGTTTTTTTTTAAACACGATTATTAATTTTTTATTTCATTTGCTAAGATAAAAATAAATATGTAAAAAAGTAAGCCCTTTTTCTCGAATACCAAAATTTTCAAACCAAAATATATCCAGTTATATACACAAATTTACGTTTTTGGTATATAATTCCATGTGAAAATGTAAAAAATAACGTAGGTGGCAAAATCAATAAATGCAGTTTATCTGCGTGGTAACTGCCAGTTACACTCTTGATTTTCTTATGACCAAAAGTCCAGGGTTAGTGTTTTGGATGAAACAAAAATTTTCAAAACTAATATTTTTTGGTATTTTCTTTGATGGAAAAAATGCTTATCATACAATTTCATATTATAGAAAATTGCCTATCTTAATATTTCATAGTATGGAAAAAATGCTTGTCATGCTATTTTCATAGTATTTATTTTGGTCCATGAAATAGTATGATAGGCATTTGTTTCATAATTTGAAATATTATGATAAGAATTTTTTGTCAACCCGGGCGGTGTGATAAAAAAAATTTGCACAAAAAAAACAGAACCTAGGCAAGTTCGACAATGGTGTTAAAATCGGCCAATTTGAAACCGCTTTTTCTAAACAAAGACACAAGTTATTACGGCTGAAAAGTTTCAAAAAAAGTAATTTTCTCAATTCGTTAGAGTCGTTAGAAATAAACAATTGAGAAAAGCAAAAATCCCATACATATTCAGTTAAGCTCAAGTTTAACGTTCTGACTGCCATTTAAAATCATGCTTGTTTTTTCCAAAAAAAAAACTTTTTTTTTTTCAAAACCAAAAAAGTTTTTTCTTGTCAAAACGTAAACGGAAAAAATTCAAATTTTCATCCCCCTCACTCACGCTCTGTAAAGAAAAAAAGAACATGTTTTGGTCCGATAAAAAAAATTCGAGAAAAAAAATCCACTTTTGATTTATTCAATTTGCCACTTGCGCTTCAATAGCAGGAAATATATTGCGCGCTAATTTTCCAAAGTTGGCCAAACTAGAAATTTTCAAATCCCCATATCTTTATAAAAAAACTATCACATGTGAAAATATCTTTTAAATTTGAATTGCAGAAACCAGTACCTCTAAGATGATAATAAAGGAGGTTCCTCAAAGAAGGCTAGTTAAGAAATCAGGTTTTTGCCCATTGTTTTCAAATTAGTCTAGTTTTTTTCTGCGTGCCCGGGTTGACGTCCATAAAGGAAAAATGCTTATCATACAATTTCATATATGGCGACTATGGAAAAAAAAGCGTATCATACAATTTTTATACGAAAACTAAAAACTGTTTTAAACGTTTTTGGAGAAACACTGAGAGAAATACTTCATGATTTCAATTCCGGTCAAAAAAATGCTTCTCATATAACTTTCATATATGAAAATTATATTATATACATTTTTTCTTAAGCAAAAACAAATTTGAAGAAAAAAATTATTAATACCTTTTTCGGTTGCAAATTTGCTTTTGTGCTCATATATGAATTTTCGCAAACAAAAAATTTTGCATGCAAAAATTGACTTTTTCTGTTTATAACGTAGTACAGGATGAGTTTTTCACCCAAAAAATCCAAAAATCACAAAAATGTGTTTTTTTTTAAACACGATTATTAATTTTTTATTTCATTTGCTAAGATAAAAATAAATATGTAAAAAAGTAAGCCCTTTTTCTCGAATACCAAAATTTTCAAACCAAAAATTATCCAGTTATATACACAAATTTACGTTTTTGGTATATAATTCCATGTGAAAATGTAAAAAATAACGTAGGTAGCAAAATCACCAAATGCAGTTTATCTGCGTGGTAACTGCCAGTTACACTCTTGATTTTCTTATGACCAAAAGTCCAGGGTTAGTGTTTTGGATGAAACAAAAATTTTCAAAACTAATATTTTTTGGTATTTTCTTTGATGGAAAAAATGCTTATCATACAATTTCATATTATAGAAAATTGCCTATCTTAATAATTCATAGTATGGAAAAAATGCTTGTCATGCTATTTTCATAGTATTTATTTTGGTCCATGAAATAGTATGATAGGCATTTGTTTCATAATTTGAAATATTATGTTAAGAATTTTTTGTCAACCCGGGCGGTGTGATAAAAAAAATTTGCACAAAAAAAACAGAACCTAGGCAAGTTCGACAATGGTGTTAAAATCGGCCAATTTGAAACCGCTTTGTCTAAACAAAGACACAAGTTATTACGGCTGAAAAGTTTTTAAAAAAGTAATTTTCTCAGTTCGTTAGGGTCGTTAGAAATAAACAATTGAGAAAAGCAAAAAACCCATACATATTCAGTTAAGCTCAAGTTTAAACCGAAATTAACTTAAGCCAGTTGCCAAAAAGTTTGTTAAAAAATTTATTGCAAACTGCAGTAATTTTCTAGAGATTTAGCTACCTTCTGCATAAAATACTGCAATTTGCAATACTTAGAAAAAAACTTTTGGCCATTCGTTTCAGTTATTGTCTCTTTGAAATTAAACTTATCTATGAGTTTTAGGTCGAGTCGACGTTTTGATGGGATTCAAATCATCCGTGCAGCGGCTCGTCAAATTTGTCGAGTGTCGGTAAGTGATAAACAACTTTCCAAATTGTTAAATAAAGTCATCGGATTTTTAATAAAATTTTGATAACTTCTTTTTCACATTCTCAGCTTATTTTAACATTAAATTTGTCATATAACTTAATATATCTATTTTTCTATCTTTTCAAACTTTGATTTTTTTGTTTCGATGTAGATTTTTTCAATCATTTCTTTCAAAAGATTCGTTTTTAGTTACGGACCCCTGGACTACAAGAAGACCTATTCCCGCAACAAAAATGAATGCTCTCCCAGTGAGCAAAGCAAACCTCTTGTTGACAAGAACAAAGAAGATGAAGACACTCCCAACACCCCTCGATTCAAATCTGTGGCCTTCAGAGCGGTCAGCCCGTCAGACTTTGATGACCTCGACTTCGATGAGTTTGAGTGGGGTCACTGAACGAAAGAAAAGTGTGAACAAAAATCGGGAAATTGAGTTCAAATTTAAAAAAATCTGACAAGAAAAGCGGGAGTGTTTTTTGTTCTGCATGAAACTGTCTAGTTTCTTCTCATTGACTTGAAATTGATTAGACTTTAAATGACGATAATAAATGAAAAGATTTTGACGAATTAGTATAGATTTTAATTTTGAATTGAACATGGGAAAGAGTGATGCAGCAAAACTGAACTTATTATTCTGGTGTTAGTTTATAAAGTTCTTAGTTTAATTTCATTCGATTTGATCGCTAATTTGGACTGAAAAGTATTTTTGTTTGAGTCTGACAACTGCGAGTTAGCGAAATCATGGATTTGCTGGCGTTTCTTAGGTACCGCCACCTGGATATTTGATTGAAGTGAGCAGTATGGTTTTCTTTTCAATTTTACGCTTTTTAGCAATTTGGAACCTGATCTAAACTACATTTTATGATTGGATAAATTAAATGTTTTACCAATGTAAAGTATTTAATATTAACCAATCACGATCCATCTAACTAACAACCCACTTATTTGTAAGTGCTGAAGTTACTTGTAATTTCAGCACCAGAGAGGTTTGAATTTAACTTAGAAATTAGTTGCACTCTCCCGAGTACTTCAGCAGCCGCAATAAACCAGTATATCCTAGATCTATTGAGCCTAGCAGAGACTAGTTAAACAACCTGAGACTAGATAGTATAAGAGTAAGATTAGGATCGGTATTAGACTAAGAAGTTGCACGAATCTATCCGGCCGAAAATAAGATAGCGTGACGAGCAGACGGTGTACCCTATCCGAAATTACTCTATGAGTTATACCTCCAGCTCTAACTCATCTGGTGCGACCATAAGTCTCGAACAAGACCTTACTAGATTAGAATTAACCAAAATAGATTAGAAATTAGACAAAAACATTTACAAAATGTTATACGACAATAATTTAATTGAAATGTCTCTCCGACTCAATAGATCAGAGCCAATATTCCGAACCATAACAGAACTACCCGGAATTGGAAGAAGACCTCGAACCAAAGACGACATACGACAAAGTAGAAACTTGCCGTATAGTTATATGATAGTTCGGCAAAAGCCAGAACAAACTTTTATATTTCGAATACTACTTGCAATGAATTTAGATTTCCATTTGCAAACATAAAACCTTGAAGTTACTCTTCAAAACCATTTCAGGCGCTAAACAAATTTAATATTATACAATAACGATTGATAAAAAGATCTCAGATCGTTCTCCTAAAACTCTGCAGTATTATACAAAACATGTTTGAAAAATATTTATTAGAAATAAAAATAAAAATTAGTAGCATGACAATAAATGGTTAGTAATCATAAATCATCCTGTTGTTCCAGCTTCATCACCTAAAACATAACAGCAATCATCAACTCACTAACATCATAAAACACTAAATCTTTCCTTTACACAAATTCAAAATTTTATTAAAACTTAAATTCACTTAATTTTAAAATCAGATCATCAAGGCTTATCCTTGGATCTTAAATCATTTCCTACTTAATTAAATTTCAAACTTGATCATCAAGGCTTATCCTTGGATCAAACAGAACAACTTTGTTCTCCCCCGCCCACTTAACTAGTGTCTAACGACCTCAAACGTCGATTCACTATCCAACCCTTTATAAAAACCCAGGACTAATAGAAATTTTTAAACAAAACTAATCATTCAAATTAGGATAAACAGTGAAGAACTTCGGTTATTCATCCTTCACTTGACCCCCCCTCTTACCAGACCCAGGATAAATTTTAGACTTAGTAAGTTTAAAATAGTATCTAACGAACTACTCGCGTTCTAATTATACCTGAACCTTGTGGATCGATTTACTATTCTCCAACCCTTGAACACAATCACTACCCCTAAGTAAGATTAAGTAAGTTAACACCTTAGCTTATACTAGTCACGAGAAAGTAAAAATCATTCTTCGGAATCGATATACTTTTCTCTCCAACCCTGAACAAATAGACCCAGGTTAAGCTAACCAAAAAATCGTAAGGACTAACAGTTTAAGCAATTAGAATTCACTTAACACCTTTTTGCATCCGTCATCCTAAACCTTATGTCATTTAAAAACCTAGGAAATAAACAAACAATCGTTTTACACAATTGTGAAATAGATAACAAAAAATACGACCTTGTAATCACACCTCATACACAAACAGTTGGATACATTCGCACAAAACGACAAACACTAAAGAGAAAAATAATAACAAAACAAAGACAAATAACAAGAAAAAGATTTTCAAAAAATCGAAACGCATTTTCAGAATCAGAAACCAACAGTTTAGACGAACTTTACAAACTAAAAGAATCAATAGATAAAAATTGCCCACTTCACGATCAATTATATTTCTCTGACTCAGAAACAACTTCAAATTCATCACAAAGAGGAAAAAGAAGAATAAAAAAGCAGTATAAACACAAACCAGTACATTTATACAATCGGAATCAACCAATTCGACACATTAATAATTACATATTAACAGTCATCGAACGGAAAAATGAGTTCAACGCACACCCCAGGTGACGAAACTCCAGATGATGATGAAATCTTTCCTTTTATAGTAGATGCAGATACTGATAGAGGACAACACATATTTTGTCAAAATTTACTCGTAAATTTATTTGAACCCGGAATCAGTCCATGTAAAACAGAGTTCCCCGATGTAAGAATCAAAAGACAAATCATAGATCACTATCTAAAAGATATATGCAACATAACACAACAGTATGGAATCTACTCTATAGAATTCACTTCCCCAAACCATAATAATAGAACATATACTATTCAAACAGACGATCTTGATTTACAATTTTCAAAAGTTTTTTCAGAATATATAAAAAGCATCCAATACCATAACTCACAAAGAGCAAACTCCATTTTCACCAATGAAGTTTTCGCAATAATATATAGTTATATTTCGATATTAGAAAACGAAATCCAATTAACAAATGTCTCACCGACAGAAACATCTAAACATTTAAGAGTACGACATGAAATCACACTACTCTCTAGTTATTTAAACATTATTAAAGAAAATTTCACGAAAGACGATGTTTCACAACATACCAAACACGATTTACAAAAAATTTTGGCATGGTTCATAATAGATTATTTCACACACAATATTGATTTAATTGCACAAGCAAGAAAAAATTTTAGACCCCAAAATTCGAACGATGATACCGCCATCACCGAACAATCAGATTATGTTTGGGACCCCGAATGGTCTCATCCCGCATTTATAAGCTTTCCACAGTCAATCTCAAGTCAAGCAATAGGTACAATATCTTACATAAGAGATTATGTAAGAGTAATACCCTTAACTATTGACGCAACACCATTAAACTATAATACATTTTTACCCGATACACAAAATAATAGTTTAAACTCTACAGTCATACACAATGAAAACCTCAATGGAACTAGGAATCTTACTCAACAAGATATACAGACACCATCACACTTCATAAATGAAGAAATTGTACACACAACAACTACACAACAAAGTATTTCACCAATACGCCCGAATTTAACAACACCAAGAAATACAAATCTTTCACAAACACAAGTAACCTTACAATCAACCGTTAAACCTTCGGTTGCTCCAAAATATTCACATATGGATTACCAAACATATAGACCCACGACAATACCATCAAAATCACGCAAAACATTCAATAAAAATAACTTTGCAGACCACAATTATAATTACACACATCCATCAAAAACAAATTATCAACCACGAAAAAATTTTAGCCATAATACAAAATCTCGAAACTGGGATAACCCAATGGCACCACCTAATTCAGTAAATTTTCAAACAAATTTACATCCTCCACAGGATCGTAGTGAAAATTATCCATTTTTTCAACAAAATAAAAATAAAAAACAAACATCTTATCAAATGGATTATTTATCCTCAGATGATGATTTCTTACAACCAGACATATTTGCACCATATACTCAAGAATATCGTAGACAAGGAATACAGAAAACACGTACAAATCATAGAAATTTTTCTCCACAACCGATAGATGCACAACATCAACAACCAATTCAACAACAAAATCTAATTAATACACAATCTTTTCAACCAATTCAACAACAAAATCCAATGACTGCACACTCGTATCAACCATCACAAATGCAAAATGAAATACCACTCCCATATTATCTTCAACAACATGAAATAACAAGAAACCAACTTTCAAATTTTTCTCAAATGCCAAATGCAGCAGAATCATTACAAATGACAATGAATCCATACCTAATGGGTGGATCATCAATAACATCAAACAAACCTTTAATGGTTTTCACAGGAACAGACCCTGAATACTCTGTAGAAGATTATTTAAATGCAGTAACAGCAAACTTGATTTTAAACATTGGACCTGAACCAATTAATACGCCATTACATCAAAACTGGATACATCGACGCACAGCGTTGATACAAACAACCTTAGATGGCGCAGCCCAAAAATGGTTTTCAGTACTACCTCTAGAAATAAAATCAAACTGGAAAAGATTTACACAAGAATTTTCAAAAATGTTTGACTCCGAAAGAAACAAACAACAACAAAGAGTTTTATGCAATGAAATTCGCAGATTACCAAACGAAACCATCAAGCAATTAGCAGTAAGAATCGAAACACTAGTTCGAAAAGCATATTCACTAAATACACACGACTATAAAAACACAAAGATGACAGAAATCTTAATGATGACCTTAACACCACAATTAAGGAAAATAGCAATAAAAAAGAGAGCATCCCATCCTTCTTCAATTCGAGAACCCGATTTAGATTTTAGAAAACTAGTAGACAAACTAGAACAAGCAGAAATCACGATGAAACTAGAAGAAACGGAAAATCTGAAATTACAATACGTAAACAGAATTGAAACAACTTCCACTAATATTAATAATATACAAGAATCAGACACAGATCTCGTTGAAAAAATCACTGAAATACTCAATATTTACGAAAAGAACCCAAACTTTAAAGGCAAACCATCTTTCAAAAAATGGTGTAATTATTGCCGACGATACGGACATAGTATTTCCGAATGTAGACAAAAACAGCAAGATAGCCAGAA